ACGTGCCCAGCCTCCCATGACAAAAAACCTCCCCGACGCTCCCAGGAGCTCTCATTACTTCTCTGCCCCAGCCCCTCTCCTAAAGGCAGCCAGCTCCATCCATCAGATCTATCGATCCCGCCTTCCCCTGGTGTGGTACCTGTCTGTTTTTGAGACTAAGTGGGAAGGATGGCAGAGCTGGCATGATATTTCAGCTTTCTAGTGACAGCCGCGTCCCCTAGGGATGTTACAAGGTGAACCGGTGGCTGGGCTTCGTGGAGGAAGTGCTCCTCCATAGATCTAAATGAAGGAGCTCTCCCTGGAGGAATTACTAACAATATGTTTTTACTGCCTGGACATCGAAGTAATAATCTGTTCTCTCTTCACTCTGTTTGCTAAAAAAAAAAAAAAAAAAAAACTCCATTCCTCATAATACTACACATGAGATAGCAGCACAAACATCTCTTCGCACAAAATGAACCAACCCCCACCCCCAACACGCCCCTAGCCTTTCTTTTTTTTCAAAATCACTGTCATAACTGTTGTTTATGGTTCAACAGTGATGTTTCACAAAAGAACAGGGGTACTGTAAATCTTTTTAAAGAGATTTGGTGGTGTGTCACACTGAGTTCCTCTTCACTTTGATCTTATTTCTCTGATGGTTTTTGGGCAGAGAAGCAAGCTTAAGCTTTTAAAGCAATTGCCTTTGAGAGAGCCAGTATAGAGCAGTCTGACATGAGCTCTTGTTATACTTCTGATTGGGATTAAATTCACAGTTTGTGACATTGTTTTGAAACATCTGTCTTTTAAACAGATCCATCTTCAACGCAGTGACACTAATCTGTATGCGGGGCCGTGACAATAGCCATAGTTCCCCCAGAAAAATATGACCAGACACCAAAATAATGTTTCTGAAATGTGTTGATAATTTGCCGTCTTCTTATTTCATGTATGCATTTAACTGTTATTTATATTATCTGTAATTTCCATTTAAGATAGATTTAAAGTTTTGTGTTAATGGATTACAGCATAGCTCGGTTGCGCTTTGGCTGCTTATGTTGTCTCCTGAAGCTTCTGATGCTGGTGGAAGCTGCTGATTGAAGACAACATCCAGGGATTTGAGGAGAGACTCTGTAATAATTCCCAGTATCACAGTATATAGCAAAGTCACCTCCTCTACAAACCCACTGCTAAAAGCGATCAGCACTCTTTATCACAGTGAACAGAAGGAAGTGAACGCAGCGCCTGGAAGGCAGGAGTCGCCTTGTCTGTAAAAACAACAGAAAATAGACGTTACCTGGATGTTCCTCCACTTCTACATGTGTGGCCCGCAGTCACTCTATATCACAAAGTAAATTAAAGAAATGAAATTAGTGTGGGAAATATAATTAAAGCATCATATGGCCTGATCATATATGATACATCCGTTTAGTGTTGCAGTAGTGATATATCAGTCCAGTGATGAACTGTAAATTAAAATCTGAAAAAAAAAAAATGACTTGAGAGACATGACAGCGGCGTCCTCAATGGTCCAGTTGCTGTGTAGGTAAGGCCGTGGCAGCATGATACACTTTACTTTTCAATATTTTCTTTGTCTGTTCAACCGAAGTTCCTCTCATGTTTTATGCTAACTGTCCAGCACTCTCTTGATTTATTCCAAACTACTAAAACTCCAAAACACATCACTTATTGCAGGTCAGAGCGGTTGTCCTGGGAAAGTGCTGCAAGAAAAATGGCATATGAAACAGTGATGGGTTCAATCACTGTTACGATGTATGTTCTTCTATGAAAATTATATTGAAGCTGAAGTGGGGCTGTCAGAGCTTGTCATTGTCACAGTGGTGCTATTAAACGGTCTTGTTCTTCAACCGTCTACTCAGTAGTGTCATTATACAACTTCCACTATCAGTCCAGCCGCAGCGGTTCACAGCACTTACAGACTCTTTTATTATTAAGGCATATCAGACATCGGATGCTTGAATCATCTTTTAATAGGAAATGTGATTTTTTCCTCAGGCTCTCACTGCTCAGACAGATCACACGCAGGCTAATTATTCCAAGTTCAGTCTGAATGATTAAATATGTAAATGAGTCATATTTCTGACCGTGTTCGTGGAGAATCAGCAAGACTCTCTCCGCAATCGCAGGGACACGTGTTGCACACACACACACACACACCTTTCACTTTGGTTCTTTCAATCTCCTGTGTTTTTTTGTTTTTTTTTCCAGAAGGGTTCATCATGTGTAATTTCTGAAGGACCTGTGTGTGAATTACATATATCAAATTGAAGATGAAAATAGACATGTGCTTTGTGTCCCAGTACATTTCCCCAAATCCTTTGATTTCTCATACAGCCATAAGTGATAGAAATAGGTCTGTTTCTGAGGAGACTGCAGCTCCCAGTGGTACAGTGTTTATAATTAAGTGCGATTTTCGACATCAGGATCCAACCACAGGAAAAAGAGCGAGGCAGGCTATTTGCTGTTGTCTCTGCTCAGCCTGCTCAGCTTTTCATTTGTGCCGTGCTTCCTCTAATGGTTTGACAGAGAAAGATGCAGATTTTGAGTTGGGAAGTCTTGCAATTAAATGATTTAAAATGCTCATTAATTCCACTGGAATTTCCTCCCTGTTTAATTGATTTATTCAACAGTTGAGTGAAGTGCAGAGTGAATTTGAATGAGCTCCTATAAAACCACTGGAAAGAGAAAGAATAAAAGCCAAGCTGCAGACAGTGTCAGTTCAGTGTCCACTTTTGCTCTGTACAAAAACACCTCAGGAGAGTTAACTTCACTGGCTCACTGACCAGAACTGACACGCAGAGGCTCACACATAACAAAGGTGTCAGTTTCAGAGGAGGATACAGAAAACTCAGAGAATGTGAAAGTCATGACTGTAAAAAAAAAAAAAAAACTCAATTTGCATTCATTAGTGGTATTTGTGACTCCGGTTGAAGCGATGCGAGAGGAAAAGCTGCAACACGATCTGATGATTCTCCCATGGTTCAGAGAGTTTGTACATGTACCTGTCAGACAACAGAACAACTCAGCAGGGAATCAAATAAACGAATCCAGATCCCAGACCCAAATCCCCGGGTACAGACACACTCCTAAAATCATTCATTCATTCATATCCAGTCGAGAAATGTTTTTCATGAACCCAGTGAAACACTCGAACAAGGGGTAGAACAACATCACTTTCATTTGCATTTCATTTTCAGATGCTAAATTCAGTCCTATTTTCTCAGCTGTCTTTCTTCTAGTGTTTCTTTTATTCTTTACTTTGAAGGCAGAATCACACTCTGAAGTGACACATAAAAATTATTACAATGAATCACTTTTTACTGGGGAAAAAAGGAAACTATATCACTATATTTATTGACTGATTTATGCCGCGTAGAACAAAAGTCTAAGGAGTGTATCAACAGTGTTTGTCTATGTAAGCTACAAACATGAGTCCAGCTTACATTAGCTGTGAGTTCAGAATCAAACTTCATTCCTTTACTCACCAAGAGCTGTCTCCAGTGGAACGCAACGCCAATCTCTTTTCTTCTACTGAAGTTAGCACGCTAACCAGCTAGCCCCAGCCCGTCTCGTCACTTTCCGATAGCAACTCACTGCAGCCTTCAATCTGCCCTACAGTAGCGCTGCTCAGAGGGCGTATTATAATCTCTTGTCCCAAGCGACGATCACCACCACGCGCTCCTGGCGAGAAACCACAGTCGGCTGCAGAGATCGCCCCTTTAAAGTTTATGTTAAAAAGAAACGGCCTCTTCATTACTGGCATCTCCTCTTTGCAGTATTTCTTTCACTACACAACGAAGATGCCGACTTTTTTCCTGCCACATGCAGCTTTAGCCTCAGTCTTTTAGCACAATATCATATAGACTTCAAGAACATATTTAAGTCTCATTTTAGGGGGGGGTTCTCATTTGAAGTAAGCTGCAAACATCACAACATTAAAAAAACTGGAGATAATGTTTTAAATCGGCTCATGAAGCTGATATTAACTTAATTAGTTTGTTAAAATCTGCAAGCGAATCATTTCAGCCAAAAAAAAATCAACAATTGCTAGAGTCTGAAATCAAGGACCCATTGTTTTGAAAATAACTATGAATTTCGAGCAGTAAATCTGCCACTGTAAACTGTATTTGTGCCACACAAGAACTTAAGCTTTACAGGAGTAGTAACAGAAATTAATTGACCGGATTGTACGGAAAAAGTATGGAAAGAAAACGGATTAGAGTAATATCTATACTATATAGATATTACTATAATGTAATATCTATGTAATAACATTCAACGTCATTGCAACCAAATTGCTGAGACAAAGGTTCTTACACTGCATGGTGCTACATTTTACATAAGGAAACATCTCACCCCGCTGTATCCGCCTGCTGGAGATCAACTGGGCTTTTCTCCATGGCGATTTTATGAGCAGAGCTGCCACGTGGGGCACAGTGTGGTGCAAGAAGAGATTCAATTATGAGGTGGGGGGGTGTTTGGCAGAAAGGTGTGTGTGCCAAGCTCTGTCTGTACGCTGCCTGAAGCTGATCGATGTGGAGACTTCTGGTCTGGCAAGTGGGTTGCAACCCGGTAGTAATGTGAGAAAGGCCCATTGTGCTGCTGTGGAAAAACCCTGCGCACTCAGCTGTGTTTACACCCTAGAGCGCGAGACTACAGACACGCCTCTGCGGATCCCTCAATAGCCCCTGCTCCGAAAACACAGGGTAGAGTCAGATGGAGACAAAGCAACACCATCCCATTTCCCCCACCATGTCCTCTCTGTGAAGCTGCCTCCCAATTAGCCACACCGCCGCTGCCGAGGTGAGATAACAATAGAAGCCCTTGTATCCCCTAAAGACCTCACTAGAGGACCTTTATTACCGTATTGATATCTCCTACATGTCACCACTGCCCTCACTTGCCTGGCAGCATGCCCGCACATTTTATATGAGGCAAAATCACCAGAGGGGTTGTAACTCAATACAAGAAGAAAACAGCAGGACACAACATTAGGCTGAATGGTACATGCTGTAATTAGCGAGATGCTGTAAGGAATAAATATACAACACGGCGAGTTCAAGCTGCACAGTAAATTAAAAAAATGATTAATGGGTGAAAGTACAAAAATGTTTCTGGCAAAAAGTCAAGTGACACCCAGTGGAATGAACAAGTATATTCTGAGCTGACATAAAATAAAAACGACACATAATCAATGGCAGATATAATATTATTTTAGAAACAAATGAACAAACAGCAGTTGCAAGTACTTATTTTATGTGCCCACTGATATTTTATCCTTCAGTTTTTTCTATATGCATAAGAGACAGTTGTGACAGATATATTTTAAAGTACGGAGCATCTCTCCAAGGGCACACTGCTTTAAGACAGGGAGGGAAAAAATATATATATATAGCTATTGCATTTTCCACACACACACACACACACACACACGCAAAAAATAAAGTGTTCAAGTTAAGTAGCACCACAAATGTTAAAGTTACTTAATAGACAAAATTACATGTCATTGTCATACAAGTTCAATTGTACGGAAAACACAAAGAGTGGCTAGCCGACCTTAAAATTAAGCATATGTTTTAGTTTATGTGCAAAACTGTTACCAGTAAAAGATGTTTAGATTGTCTACTTGGTCCTCGGTCAAAATTCAAACAGGTAGCTGCAGTGAGCGATCAGTCATTTTTCAGCTTCAGTTTGGTTTTCTGCCTCGCCATTTTAAAAAATTGGATTTTTATTTTCTTTGCCATTCACTTTAAAACGATGTCACTTTTGGAAGAAGAAATAACACAGTCTTACTCTTATAAACTAAAATTAAAATGACATGTACCTCAGCTTTGCTCAGTTCAGTGCACTCAGGGGTGGTGGTTTTGGTGATGTAGCTTTACTTGGTGGTAGGAACAGTAATTTATGGTGGCTAATACTAGCTAATGTTAGCAAACACTGGACAGATATTGTGTTGTTAACTGACATGACTGGGTCAGTTCACTGACTCTATGGCTTTTCTCTGTGTGTATTACTGTTACTCTATGTTTTAGGATCCACCATAACCGTTTCATTTAATTCACTTGTGACTACAATATTTTTTCATTAATTCAAAAGTTCTATATCTTTTCTCAACTTTGTAAATTTCAAATCAGAAAAACTGAAAAACTCTCAATTAACCAAATAATAATTAAAAATTGCTGATGTTTTGATAGTAAAACTGAAGAGAAAAATCCCCTTATTGCTCTGCGCTCGTAAGACATGACATTAAAACCTGTATCCAGATACTTGAAATAATCATTAGTTTGGCTCAGTGGCCTAAGGCACTCTTTACCTGGTTTAAACGTAGGCTGGCAAGATTTGACGAAAAGTGTCCTATATTTTGCATTTATATCAAAATCCTTCATTTTTTTCATTTGTAGATAAAATGTTACACAGACTTTCTAAGGCTTTGTGCTAGAAACTTTCAGCAGTACCACAGCGGCTGCTTGTAAAGCGCTTTGAGTGAGGCTTTATGGAAAATGGATATGGGGTCACTTCTACTACAAAGCCGAGGTCAGGCTCTCGGAGAGCCAGTCTGTGTGTGAGTGGTCATAAAACACTACAGGCATCCATTTCAAATGTCCCAGCTGTCACTGAAGTACTGGTCCTCATCTTCTTCCTCCTCCTCTTCTTCTTCCTCAGTCCCATTTTTCATGAGGTCATCATCTAATAGCTCCTTCACTTCCTCTTCCTCCTCCTCTTCCTCTTTGAGCTGTGTGAGCATGGTTTGCAAGGTGGCCTTTACTTCCTGGACTTCTTTTTCTAAAGACTGTGCAGAGTGAGTTAAGGAAGAATCTGATGCTTCAGACACAAGCTGAGAGTCGCACATTAACATGTAAATAAAAAGCATGCCAGCAGACAGATATCTGGGAAAAATTTGACACTTGTGGCCCTCAATGGTTAATGGTAATAGCAGAGGGCAGCCATGACCTGATGAAGCCATCAATCTCCAATTTGGCCACCAAACGAATTACTGGGACAGATCATCAAGTCATACCCAATTTAACCCCATCCAATTCACTATTCATGAGCTCATCTCGTCTGTGGAGCTTGGTGGCAGTGTGGGGACCCAGGCAAACAGACTGCCCAGCTAAATAATTCATAACCCATCAATGAAACGGGATAGAGGCTGTCATCAGTGTGTGTGTGGGGGGGGATTGTTTAACCTGCTTAGAAACTCAAATTAATCGTGCGAGTGTCCAGCTTAAGTGGCAAATCAAAGGGATAGCTTTGATGGCAGATGGGGCCTGATGGCTCGTTTTACTGTCTGAATGGACACAGATTGTTCTCATTCATAATTAACCAGCCGTTAAAGAGCTTGCCATGAATACTGCAGAGGGTTCGAAAGACCTTTAAGGCAACATGATCCAATTGGGACGATGAGATTCAGAATTAGGGTGAAAACCTTTAAAACGAACCACAGTGGGGGTTTTTTCAACCCTCGTCTCTGTGGTTGTCCAACCACTTCCTTGTATTGAGAGCAGGGACTCAATTAAGACCCTCAGAGACTGGAGGTTTGAACTGCCCGTCACTATGGCAACTGTAGTGTCATCCTAAATTCAGTTTCTGTTTGATTTCTGCAACACAATAACAATATTGTTATGTATCTTCAGTGTCCGCAAGTGTCCACGGTGCTTTTGCATAGCAAGAGAGGCTCTACTTCAAAAAGCCAGGATGAATGACATGTAAGGACATGAAAACAGAAAGGTGGAGAGGAGCGGGCCAATCTGTGTCTATCTCCGACTGCCAGGCTGCATTGATATCATGCAGACAGTGGAGGAGCCTGTACTGACCCCTGACAGCACAGCAGGGGACATGAATCTCTAATCAGATGTGAAAACAGTCCGGCCACACTTCAACAGAGAGTGAAGGACATACTGAATAACTCACTGCTTTTAGAGATCCTAAAAACGAAATAAGCCTCTTCATCACTTTGGGCAGATTGGGGAAGTATTTCTGGCAGTCTGTGTTCAAAGAAGAGAAATGAGGCACGACAGAAAATAAATAAATAAATGAATAAATAAAACCTCAGCATGTTAGACGGAAAATTTTCTTTATCCCTGTGTTGAAACATCACCTGTTCTATCTGTCTCAATAAGCCCACAGTGTGGAGGGGAAAAGTGGAGCGAGAAAAACACACTAATCTATTTCCAATCAGTTTCTAATTAGCGTGGAAAATGATGTATTGTGACCTGTAATCAGCTTCAACAGTTTCATTTGAGTCATTATCATGGATGTTGTAATTTCCTCCGAGCCAGTACCACCAAGTGATGTGGGCAGACGGAGCAGGGGATGGGGAGGAGGGGCGAGGGAAGGAAGGGAGGGTCAGAGGGAGGATGGACATTACGATATGACGGCAGTGGAGTCATTAGAGTGACATTCCTCTATCTGCCGCCGCGCTGCCCCTGACGGCCAACTTTAATCTCAGGCCATAGTGACTGGCAGCTCACATCAAAGGCCAGCTAATAACCTCGCTTGGACTTTAACCATTTCATTTTCCAGTGGGCACGTCCAGCCTGTCAAGAAAAATCCTCTGATCCCAGTTTATCTTCAATTCCCTCCCTGAATGGACCCATAATGTCAGATAAGACAGGTGTTTTTTTTTTTTTGTTGTTGTTTTTTTTTCCTCAAAAGGTAAAGTCACTGAAAGCTAACATCAGTCAGCCTTAAGGTAGTTTGGATGTGTACTTTTGAGAGTTGGAAGGAAACTAGGTCCTGAAGATGGATGGACAGAGACAGGAACACACACACACACACACACACACACACACACACACACACACACACACACACACACACACACACACACACACACACACACACACACACAGATAGTGCACAGTTTATACGATACATGTATATTTAGAGAGCAGTGAAAGGATATGGGTGAGGGCCTGATCCCGGTTTAGTATGGCCGTCTGCAATTCATCTTCCAAGGTCATTAGTCTGTCACTGATCAGCTCGCAGCGCTCTGTTAGGTCTGCAGCCTCAGCCTCACTGCACCCGTCCTGGCCGGGGAAGGAAACAAGGGATGAAATGATGGAGATGCGGAAAAGAACAAAGTAACAACAAACAAAGCTGCAATGGTTCAAATATATGGATTTGGAAAATGAATAAACACTAAAGTCTCTCTAACAGTAACAATAAGCAACGTACCAGGTAAAAAACAAACAAAAAAGAGTATTTGGGTGTTTTTAGTACACTCATATAACAAGAAGACTAAAAGGATTCATGAGTCATCTGGCAAAAAAGAACAGGAGCCTTTGTTGTATTGAAGCTATGAACATTTTCATTATCACATTTCGGGAAAGATAACATGTTTGTGTGAAGGGAAATTCAACACTAAAAAGCAGCAGGAACCTAAAATTTCACTTGAATTTCTTTTGCAACGTGAATTCTCGTCTCAATCTGCGAAGCCAAGTCTCAGTCAAGTGTTACCACAAACATCTTCAATCAGACAGAAATGTAAAAATAATCAAAGGCTGCAGCATGGCTTAGCACTTAGCACATGGTATTTAACGAGGTACACAGGCAAGTTAGAACCGCACCTCCATAAAGTCCTGACTTTTAGTCCCTCCAAAAACCCTGTGTCCTACATTTCCCATAATGCTTCCGTCAGTCTGTAATGCTTTAGTGAGTCTTTCAGTAGCCCCTCCCTGCCTGGTAAACACCCACATCTTTCAAATCCCACACCTCCATTTTTTAACCTGTCTGCTTCTGCTCATAATGATCTACAATGCATTTGTGTTGACCTTACTTCTAAGCTTTGCTGATGCCTTAACAGCATCAGTGTTAATTTATCCATAGTCTACTTTTCTCAGAGCCTCTAAAACAAGTGTAATGATATATTATGATGCAGTATCTTGTGCTTCATTAGTCGCCATAACAACACGGATAACAAAGATGGACGCAGTAAAGTATTGTGCTACAACTTGCTTCTTGTATCATCACTTGTGCTTCTAATTAAACTCACGCTGAACAGTGCTGCAGAGTTCACACCAGTGCAACAACACCTGTAGCATTTCTGTCTCTAGATCATATACAGTGCAGCACCAGACTCTCACATAAGGCAGGTATTATGAGCCACTTTTACACCCAAGAATAGTGGGTACATCTTATAGCATTATGATTAAATATTTCAATGATTGATGATTAAAGTGGCTGTGTGGCGGCCTACTTTAAATAAAATTATTGCTCTTATACAAGCATGTGCAATTTTTCTTCAACGCTTCTTGACTTGTTCCTCTTGACTTGAGCTGTTTTTTTCTCAGTTTAGTTTTAGTTTTAATAATGATTGTGAATGACCGTGAGTCAGAGCTCAACATGGAGCTCTCCAGAGTTTTCCTAGACTTCATCTCGTTCAATAGAACCCAGGCACACTGCAACAACTACAAATCTCTTTATATCTATTTTTATATTTGCACATCTACAGAAATGCCTACTTGCATTTGTATGTTATTGTATAAACTATTTCTAATTTATCTTATTTATTCTAGATTCTGTTTCTATTATTATTTTATTTCTTATTATATTTTTACCCTTATCTTATCTTATCCTTTACCTTGTTTAAACACACACAGGAGTGAAGTGGTGAACAGCTGGACGGGCAAAAAAAGAGGCTGCCAAAAATATTTGTTTGGTAAAGCACCAAGGTCATAATGTACACAATGCACACCAGGGGAGCTGTGTGCACAGCATTTGGGTGTGTACCTGTGGATCACCTGAGTGTGTATTGGAGGATGGTGTGGATGTCAGGTTGGTGGCGGAGCAGAGTGCAGTAGGGCAGAGCATTCAGAGAGCAGAGCTGGCCATAATTAGAACAGGCCCCCTTTGCAGACATCGTGTCCTAGTTTCTTCGCACTTATCAAGCATAGAGAACACAAACACACACACCGGAGCACACAGTCCACACTCCGAGCAAATAGACACACACTCACGTGCACGCAGACCCAGTGCTCTCGTCAAACAACACATAGCAAGTCTAATCTGACTCATAGCTGCAGGTAGAAAATATCAGCTCCCTGCAGCTCAGAGGTGTCAGAACAATCACTGGAAAGTCGTGTCTCTGGTCTCTGTCCTGGAATAGCTCTCTTTCCCCAGATGATGTAACACCCCCCAAAAGAAATGTACAACAACAACAGGCCTGAGGTGTGGTGATATGTACAAGTCATCCCTGATGCAATTAAAGAATTAAGCCAGACTTAAAGGCAGAACAACATATACGGATGCAAGATTTAAAGAAAACATGATGTTTTTGTGTACGAGGCACATAAATGAACAAGTGATCACTAACACCGGTCAGGTGTCATCGTATGTGATGCTGGGATCCCTGTCTGCCCGTACAGAGAAGAAAAGACGGCCAGTTTATAGATCCACTGAGCCGTTTGTTTGTCAAGGTTAGCAGCATCTTTGGCAGATAAGAGCTCTGTGTTTGTGTAGCTGATTGATTCTATACATTACAGCCTCCAGTCAGCTTTTGGAAAGTCAATACAAGCACAAGATAGAAGACAGAAGCTCCCTGTGCAGAGCGACACCGTTGAAAACATGCCTGACAGTTTGTTATCAAACCTTTTTTAAAAACTGCTACAACAGTCGAAAAGCTGTTATTTTGCTCCTGGTGGTGATCAAAACAATATAAATGACTTCCTCTGCTACATCTGCCGTCGACAAACAAGAAAACATGGGAAATGAGATTTCAATAACATGTCAATTTGCATAATAGAATCTCAGGCATACATGTATTGTCATGTTGATTCCTGTCATGTTGATTAGTGCTGATGTTATTAGACCAAAAGTAAACAAAGCTGACTGCAGAAGCATGAAGTCGAGCAAATTATTTAGAAATTCAATATTCAGACTCATGCATGTGCTGGTTATTTAAGCAATAATGAGTGAGAGGCAGCAGGTAATTGTGTGTGTTCCCATGGGTACTGTTAGGCCCGACACTTTGCACTGGGCAGGCAGTACAAAGCAACAATATTGTACAAGCATTAGGTCATAATTGCTTTTACAAACAATAAAATAGCTGAATTCATTTCAGACTCAAGAGGAAATTAACTAGCTTATGATGAACTAGCGTCTGTTATCACCGATGCCCTGTTAGTAAGTTACTGCGTCCACTCTTAGAAATACTACAATCTCATTACAGTGTAAGATGCTACAGTATGAGATGTCAACAAGACTGTAGTTCCTGTTCAACTTTACATACTGGATGAACACAGTATCTGCTCTATTAGTCTTTTTAGTACACTGTTGAAATGTACAAGAACTTCACCTGCTGTTTTATACAGACAGGAAATGTCACATATGTGCGCCTCACTGCAACTTTGAAATGTCACTGACAATTAAACCTCGAAGAAAAAAACGAAATCCTTTTGTCAAATAATTTACAACTTTCATTTTGTGCTTTTTCGGTTTTCCAGGATCCTCCTGGAACTACTTCACCACCATTCACATTTTGCATTTTACTGTGGGACAATAGTGTCTATCAACAGCACACTCCACTGACAGTTTTGAGTACTCTTAATTTTGTCACTATTCAAGCGTTAAGTAGGATTTGGATGCAACTTCGGTTTTTGAGTCTGCTGTCAGTTTACACTTCTGTCCCACAATGCACAAGTCTCTACAACTGTCCCCGTTTTTTTGGAAAAGCATCAAGCTTTGTCTCTGTGAAGTTTGGCTGGCAGAGACACAGCTACAGTTTGATTGACTGCACATGTACTGTACCTCATTACCTGTTAGAACAAAATGGCAAAGGTGATGTTGCATACCGTATACTTACTGCAAATACAAAGTATTATTTATATATATATATAGTAGCTAATGTGTGCAATTAGTGTGCAATAAGGAATTGTAATGCAGCAATCATCTCAAATCTAACATGGCTGGCATACATTTCATGACATTATCATCCAAACTACCGGATTAACAAATCTAATCAAAAGCCTTCAACATTTGAATTGAATTAAGTCTCCATTGTTGTTTGGTACTGGGGGTCAGTATGAAGAGGTTAATGTAAGGACCTTGAGAGGATAAAAGAACAATTAGTAGAGATTAGAAGAAAATAGAGCAGTGCTGAAACACACACTTGCACAAACGTACACACACCAATCAATCTCCATTGTGGTAGCAGGGCAGCAGCTTTGGCAGCAGCTAAGTGGAAATCATTTACTTAAAGTCATTATGGAAAGGAGAAGGAGGTCAGGCGCTCTGCGAGGCGGAGAATCCAACTCCTCCACAACGCTAACACAACACCATCAAGATGAAGATACCAATACCATTCAACAGCCATCATATCATCTGCCTCCGTCATGTATCATAGTTTATTGTGATTGAACCATTTTGTGTCAGCTAGGTTCTCCATCACTCAATGTGATTCAGAGTTGTGTACTTCAGATATGCAAGTCACCCTCCCATCCACTTTCTGCATGAGCATAGATTTGTTACTGGCTTGGCAAAAAGTCAGTTCACTGAACTTTAATTTGCAGCTTTTGCAGAAAGTTTGGAATTTAAAATGAAGAATTTAATTAGAGGCAAGCAGCGTCTGTCAAGCTTACAAATGTTTATAAATGGTTTTGACCAAGTGGATTTTCTCTCTTTAGTCGGCTCCGACTCATATTTTTGATTCATGAGGAATTATAACCATTATCAGACTGCATGGAACACCTTAACAAGTGTAGGTGGTGATGTACTGTTTGGCTACCAGGTGTGAATGGGTATAAATGTATGGATTTAAAGCAGGAAGGTGCTGAAAGGAGAGAACGTGCTCAGCAAATCCCTCCCCTGCATAAATAAAAGTCCTCAAACCCATTGTGCAAACTCAGACAGTCTGCGACAACGACCCAGGCTTCTCATGTAGATCAGTATCGATCGGACCATCAAAAAGGTGACAGGGGTCATGTTTAAGTTAAGGTCAACTAATGGATTCTTCTGTGTCCCAGTAAGCCCAGTGTCAATGCAAGTGACACTTTAATTACACTGATAACATTCAGCCGTACAGTGACAGTTTTGGCGTTACCAACCTCTTGGTGATTATCTTCCATGCAGAACAAAAACTCCTCCAATTTCTGAAACAAAAAAGGAAACATTTGTTGAGGCCACACAGTCATAAACCTGCTCATGAATAATTGAAAATGCAATTATGTTGGCTGTGTACTGTATGTGTGCAGCATCATCATAATGAGAGGAGGTTGTAATTATTCATCACCAAAACTGACAAGGAGAAAATAGATTAACTGGCTCATCTGCACTGCAGGTTTCTTTGTTAGTATTCAAAGTATGTAATTGTACATTCTTCACTAAGGAAGGAGTTAATCACTGTACCTATTAGAGGCTAACATATTGTTTGTGGCTTTAGGGTAAGTACATAAGAAGGCAGAGCAACAACAAATGACAATCAGCAAAGTTTTAATTACTATTTTCTAATTAAAAATTGTGTAACATCTAGCAGGCGTCAGGCTCTCCAGTAAACGCAGGTGCAGCTGACCATCTATAACTCTTCACACTGTATCTGATGTGAGATTGTTAAACCCTGCAATTTTGAAGCGGTCACACAAACTGGATTGTCTTCGCTCTCTCCAATTACATCCATCTCACAGCAACATATAATCTGTCACCTGCAGTCTTCTAGCCACAGAAACAAACGTTTTCTGGCATCCAACTGATAAAATACTTCTACTGCCTGTGGCCTTGAGATGAAAACACTCACATCTACCAAACTAGCATCCACAGTGAAGGACTTTTATTAATATATTTGGGTCCTTGAATATTCAGAAAAAAAGAAAAGTAGCAGCTTTACATATGCAGGGTGATATTAAACGGCTGAAAAATGACAATAATACTAAAAAATGTCTTATGTTTTTATGTATCTCTTATATTTCCCCCAAGACAGAGAGCTGTAGAACAAAAATGTCCACTGAATTTACTGTTATCCATCTCTTCTTTCTCATAAGATATTACAAGGTGCTTATTGATATGAAAGTATGTTAGCTGATTAGCAAGGGAATGAATGTTTTGTCATTCATTAAATGTTAAATGCTGCAAAGAGCATCTATGGTTCTTCTCTGTCCATGGACATCGGAGGTTCTTTTTGTGCAAACTAATTCAGAGTGATATTGTGACTCATATTCACAGAAAGGATGCAGGTTTGCACTGATGCTCTGAAATATTCAAGGATGTCGGCTAAAAATCTATAACTTTTTTTAATAACATTTTTGCAGCCACAGAGAACTTTTTGCTACATTGAGCTCTAATGTTTCCAGTTTAGGGGACACAGAAAATAGAGTGTAAAGCACTGAGACAAAAAAAAAAAAAGAGAATTGGTTGGCTGTCTCACCTTTTAGTTCTTGGAGAAATGTTAGGAGGAGCCAGGCTTTAGGAGCAGAAAGAAAAAAGCAGAGAGAAACAAAGGGAAAGCAGGAAATAGATTCATGCAGTTTATAGAAAACAGTCAGGCAGTGCAGGGACAGAAGACATCAATGCAAAGTGTATATTTATGGATGCACAGAGAGAGACTGTGAGGGAAGTTAAAGAGGTTGCAGCAACGTGGTAGAATTAAACATGACAATGAAAATCCACAGCCTCTAATTAGAATACATGCAAGTGGAAATTCTGCCAACAGCACCAGCAAAGACCATCGACAAACATTTGTCAATGGCCACAATCCAGTAAATCCATACTGAAATAAGTACGTTGAATGTATCACCTGCTGCTGAGAAACAGCAAATATTATGTTAAATCACAATCTCTGAGCCAAAGTAACAAAAATATAGTCTCACAAAAACAAGTGTGCTGTATTTTTATTGGCTTTGTTCCTATCTCAGACAAGTGTGTTAGACTACGTGGGCGGAGGAAAGTGTGAGGAGAGGAGAGAATGAGTTGGCCCTGAGGCAGTGGACCTCAGCTCACTGTGGGATAGACCAACACAGAGAATACACACACGCACGCACACACGCACACACATGCACACACATGCACACACACGCACACAACACACACAACACACACATGCAATCCCTCTAAATGCATGTAATCATGCAGAAACACTCTTAAATCTGCACTCTGTAAAATGAAACTCTTGAAGGAAGCCAAAATGTTTCCAAATGGTTGACTCCCACACGCCCACATTTTCATTTTTCCTGGTTTAAAAATACCCTCAAGCAAACTTGCTAATAGACTGCTGCTCATCTCACTGTAGTCGACAGACTTTTACATTCTGACAGCAGCTGAATGTCCTCTCCAGTCAAGTGCTGAGACTGACAGAGGTCACTTTTCACACCACAGTGAAAAAAGGAAAAAGCGAGTGAATGTGGAAACAGGTAATCCTCATTTGACCTTTCTGTGTCAAAGAGGAGTTATGTGAAGAAAATATCTAAGACTTCAGCTATGGAACGCCTCAATCTTTTATATTCAAGGTGCTCTAAATCTCTGTCTGCACTCTGCAATGCATGATGGGCATCTACATGAATAATACATTGTGTATTGTTAACAAGGCATTGTTGCGTTACCTTGGTGAACTCTGAGTTCTGTAAGTTGGCCTCGGGGCACCAGCGTCCTCCCAAAGCAGTGAGCATGGCGCAGTCTTCTTCTTCTTTGGTACATGAATGGGCAGGAGGATAAACTGCTGCAGTGGGGAGGTCTTCGATGTCTGCTCCACTGCAGCTGGGAGTCCGCAACTGGAGGCCTCGCAAGAACAGGTGACACGCTTCCAGGTCAGCTTCCCAGATCCGCTCCAAGCCTGGACAGCCACAACTACAGGGAGAAAGAGACCGTAATGTTACGAGATGATAGGATATTGATACAATAACAGATATGATATGATACATTAAAAGATTCGATACATTACAATACGATAAAAGATTCAAAATATGACAATACAGTAAAATATAAGATACGATACAATGTGATATGATATATTATACTGATACACAACATATTATATGTTATATGATATGATTAAACTATGAAAAAACATGAATCAACTTCATAGTGAATAAAGCAAATGCAATATCATACTATACGGCAGAAAGAGGCATAATAAGTACATTTAAAAACACGGTACAGTAAAATCTAATATGATCTGGTAATATGTATATGATACTTTAAATACAATACTATTTAGCAGTAACATATTTATTACTAAAAAGTTTTGATACAGGCAAAGATTTAAATATAATTTAGTTCTATAAACAATTTGGACACAAAATAATGTGGACACAACAAAATTTAAAAACTATTACTATTTTCACATCTGCCATTTAGTATAGCACTAGAGGCAAGAGATGATTAGCTTAGCTTAGCATAAAGACAGGAAGGAAGGCAGAAGGAAACAGCTAGCATGCTTCTGGTAAAGGTTCAATAATACACCAACCAGCACCTCTTAAACTCACTCATTTCTAAACAATGTTGTTTAAATACATACACAAACAGAAATTTAAATAATATTTCAAGTACATAACTTTGTATATGGTGTCTGGTTGTTTATGAATTAAACAACTGAGATATAGCATGTTAATAGGCTAGCTGTCTCCCAACTCCATGTTGTACAAATGTGCACTGAATATATATTCGTAGGGTTATAAGATGTTAAATTAAAGTATATAGACAAGAAGTGTAAACATCATGATCACACTAATATTGGGAAAACAGGACAGATGACAGTATGAGTTATTGCATGCATGTCCTGGCTGTGACTACCTGATAAGTGAGCACAGTAGATGCAAAGGCACAGCAAAGGACATCTTTAATCACATCACTATAATAAAGCCTTACTCAAAAGAGTGACAGAGGAGAAATAAATCATTCAAAGATTTGAATTCCATTGACGAAATGTAATGAGAGTGAATGTCCTGCTTTCAGGCTGCCCTTTCCTTCAAAGAGCCACAGTGGCGAGGGAAAAGAGAGCCTGGATGTGTTCATCTCTTCTGGGGTCACTGAGCTTTAGTTCAGGGGGAGGACAAAAAGATTGTTTTTTGTTTATCTACTCATTGAATTACAATCACTCATCCTTTTTCACTGTCTCTCGCCCTGACCCCTGTGACATCTCAGATCCAAGCTCCGAGCGCAAAAACAGAAGAGAACAATTAAAGCAGCTACAACTGACTGAATGTATTATTTAGAAAATGAGCGATGGTCACCGTCCAGTGGAGCTCTCTGTTCATTGTCCCATCATTTAGGTTAAGCTAGCCACTGTGTGAAAGCAGTAGTCCACCATGGTGATGACAGTGTTGGTGTTGAACTATAAGCAGGTGTTTCTGGAACTCAAAAATAAGTTTTCCCATTACATTTAAATGAAATACCCCTCCACAGACTGACATTTGAAATATTCATATTTATCCCCCTTTCTTCTTTCAGTGACCTTTAGGTAACATATCATTCCCAAATAAGTGTGGTCCCAGGTGGCATTTCAGGGGGCCGACATCCATTGATCTGAATTCTACCTTCAATAAGTTTTAAGAGACACACAAAAATCAAAGGTTCCACACTAAAGAGCATCAATATTTCAAAGTAGGAAATACTCTAATACTCTAATACTCTACTCTACTCTACTTGTCAATAACAACCTTGGAATCCATCTTGTGCTGACAGGAGGCAGGGACGAAGATGTGGGTTTTATACATATTACATATTAGATGAATCGTGTGTGTGTGTGTGTGTGTGTGTGTGTGTGTGTGTGTGTGTGTGTGTGTGCGCATCCATTTCCAACCCAGATTCTCTCTCACAAACACTAAATCGCACATTGAGTGGGTAAGAACGATAAAAACACAACAATTTCAAACTCTAAGCAGAAATATACTTACATATAAGCCTCTATAATATATTCAGTAATTTCACCTAGAGTATACCTCCCTGCTGCTCAGTTAGATTTGAGAAATTGCTCATTCCCCATCATATGTAAACAAACTCAAAGGCAAAATGCACCCACAGTATTATTTAATCTCTCCCTCTGTTCCTTCGTCTCTCGCCCAAAAATTGAATGCCACTTGTTTTCCAGCCTATCTCCTGTCTGAAAAGGCTGCCAACCTCTGTGCCCTGCCAACGCACGCCTCTCAGCCGTTCTCTAACCTTCATTTGGCACACAGACAATAGAAAAATTGCTCACCCCAGCCCCCAGCCCCCACCCCCCTTTAATTCTCTACTCAACGCTGCCGCTTCTGAATTCTGCTATAGTGAGGATGCACCCAGTGAGCCATGCCATTGTTATTTGTCTCTTCTGAAGTGGAGAGGGACACACACACACATACACACATACACACATTGCCAGATATGGTTGGGCACATATGTGTTAACTTGTGCGTGTTAACAGACACACACACACACACACACACACCCATAAATCAATCTCTGTGGGGATTCAGTGTTGTACAATCATCAATTCCTCTAAAAATGTCAAAGCCTGCTTCATGTATCACTACAAGCTCCTCTTCAATGACAACCACAATTCATTACAAATAACTGGCACTGGCATCGGGGCCCTGTACAGGAAATTCAGACAACATGTCAGCGCCTAAGCATCCCTGTGATGGTGGCGTCCTGGTGCCCGTCGGTATGAACCTCCTCGCCCGGGGGTTAATTGGTGGCAGCCGCTCGGCCCTGCCATCTGACAGTGGCAGGGTGTGGGCGTGCTGCTCCACTGATGGCCCAGTAATAAGAAGGAGAGACAGGCAGGCACACTCCTTCTACAGTCTCTCAGCCCCCCCCCTCCCCCTCCCCCTGTGGGACTGCTGACTGACAGAACTGCTCTTTCTCCTCAAGGCATCGCGTGCGCACACAGACAGCTACAGAGGACGGATTAGTATTGAACGGAGCAGCAGCGGTCTGGTCCTGCTGCTACTAGAAGGTTCAGTCTGAGCTCTCTAGAGTGAAAAGGCACAAAGCGGGTTCACACACTGTCTGGCCAATAGTCTGCACTCTATCCAGCATATATACTCATATGCTGAGCTGCATCTTCAGCTTTCACACCTGAATACCAATATGAGACAGACTGTGAAAAACAGCTCCTATCTTCAGGCACAGCTGGACGTTTTTGGCTATCTAAAAGATCAGGCTATGAGCGATAAGTAAGCACCATTTCCCAAAGAAATTAGCATCCTGACTGAAATAAAATTAGTGCTATCTTCACCTGTGGTCTCAAGTCAGTGCCTCTCATGTCGAGTATACACAAAAACACATAAACACAATGAGAATTCACACATTAGAGAAGGAAAAAGGAGACGGAAATCTTTCACGTTAATCATGTGGCAACAACTCGAAAGACACCAGCTGACGAGAGGTGCTAATAATATGGTGAAAGGTGGTGACTACTGGATGAGGTGTGATGGGTGGTGAATGAAGTGAAGCGTTTGTAAGGTGGGCGGCTTGATGTCTGGGGAGGTTTTTGCAGCAGCCACTTGAGCGACCAGTGTCCCTGTGCTTCAAACATTCAAACATTTATCTTATGTACATTCAAGATTTTGTACATTACAAGTGATAATAGAGTTGTTTTCTTTCACTCACTCCCCCTCCCTAGATGCTCTCAGCATGTCTTCGATTTTAACTAAAAGAACATGTCTTGACAGAGTATTTTAATGACTTCTCCACCAGTTGCATTGTGTCCATTAAATATGATAAATGGCATCCAAATCTCAGCAGAAGATTGCATAAATATAGGAAAAATACGAGAGGCATTTCCTAATGAAACATCTACATAATGTTTTAAACAAGTGTGCAGCGCTGCTAATCTGAATAAAATGTTTTTTGCTCTGGTGACACACTTACAGCATCTGCGCTGCTCTAACATCCTGTTCTAGTCTTTAGCAAGGAAGAGATAATTGGTTTTTTCAACACCATCCGTCTCCACGGAGACCAGACATCTCACCAGTACTAATCTGCCTCTTTCCTCCCCGCCCCCCTCCTCTTCTCCTCTCCTCACCTCCCATCACCACAGCACGCCATCAATGTACATTAGAGCTGACAGATAAAATTTACAGTGGATGATGGGTGCATTTGTGTGACTGAGTGTGAATGTGTGTGCGTGTACAGTAAATGTGTACATGCACATATGGGGACAACTTCCCATGCGGTCAAGCCAGATATGTGTCACTGTGCCAAACTGGAGCTGGTGGAAGCTGCTGGTCTTCGCCCAAAGCTAAAGCTGTATATGTGATTTGATCCGGAACGCTTCTGGCTATAGAAACAGATCCAAGGCTGGAGAGCCAATCAATTAATATAGACTGTGATGAGCAAGTAAATGACTTTAGAGTACTCAATACTGAAGGAGGTGTCCTTTAATGTGATTTTTCTTTCAATGGTAACCTGGTTAGATACATGTGATCCATATAACAGGCGGTTGAAGCAATAAACTTAGAGATAGCATCACAGAACATACGCGCTCCATTAAAAGGGGAGATAAAAAGCACCCAGTAGCCAGACTGTTTTCAAGGCTAAGCGTTCAATGAACTATTATTTTTGTTTTATTGGTATTGGGACTGGGACTAAAATGGCTTCCTTAGGAAAGAGAAAGAGGCTTTGTGGATTCATAATATCAGGGGCATACAGTACATTAGATGACGATTAATGGACATGGAGTTTTATTTCGTTTTTTTTTTTCTAGTTATTCTTGGGGACACTTCACTGATTCTATTCATCACGGAGAGTACTAGTCTTCTATTGTGTCCTCTGTGGCCCTGGAGAGAGCTTTCCAAAGTCTGACCAAGACTGGATTCTATTAGAATCAGGTGATCACTAATGGTGGTGGATTCATCCTCTGAGAACCATGTATGTCTCTACAAAAGCTTGTGCCACTCCATTAAATGGTGACCAAAGTGATGGACCAACATCCAGAGAGAGTCATCTCAGCTTGTGTTTGCAGACATCAGATTCCTAACAGAAAGGCTGTGGTGTACACTGGAGGTGTGGAGCAATAACAAATGCTATTGAGTTGAATTATGGAAGTTGTAGGATGCAGTGATTTTGGCTCTTGATCCATAGTACGAACAAAGAGTCTTTGATTCTTTTTTGAAATTTGACTATTGTGAATCCTCCAACTTTAGTACAACTTTAATAGAAGAGACTTTGTGGTTTTTGAAATTCACTAACAGTTTTTAATATTCACGTAGCTCTTGTTTTTGGGACAGTATTTGTATCTATATGGTATTTTTTGGATGATTTTAGCTGTTTAAGTAAGTTCCTGTGTTCCTGTGCAGCATCCTTTAAAGACTTGCATCTACTGTACAGTATGTGTCTAGCTCTGTCGTCCTGTACTGTATATGTACTGCACATGGGCTGTGCTTTTACCCATTTAGTAAATACCCTGAGAATGCCTCTTCCAGTAAGTCAACTAGTGTTGCCGAGGTGGTTTTTTTGTTTTTTTTTGTTTTTTATTTTCTCCACAAGACAGGTACTCTCTGAAAAATCAAACAAACAAAACACAAAAGCAGCCATCTGCCCTATTGACAGAAAAGGTCCTGAGGCATGCTTCCCTGCTGAGCACTGAGATCGCAGCCACGTTGCTCCTTGACCACATAGACCTGCGCATCCCTCAACAACAAAAAGCTCTGCAGTATGTGACTGACTCCTGGCTCCCATCCAAAGAGGTGACCCTGGCTCTCAAAGGATGCAACACAGAAAGTTACACCCTTCTCTTACACCACAAATAGAAACAAGACTCAAGCAGAGACACTGTGTCTCTGACAATATACTGTAGGCTTTTCCTGGCTTGCAGTAAGCACAGAAAGCCTGACCTTCCTTAGAAAGAGAAGAGACCGAGTGGAAAACACAGCTCATATGGTGTACACAAAAACATAACTAGCTCTATTCATCCATCTGTAAAACACAAATGGTTCCAAAATGCTGCAGAATAAGAGCCGAACGCGTCGCAGCTGCTCGGTGCTGTCTGTCTGTCTGTCTGTCTGTCTGTCTGTCTGTCTGTCTGTCTGTCTGTCTGTCTGTCTGTCTGCTGGGGAGACGAGCTAAGCAGCTCTAATCTCCATAAGGAAGCACAAACAGGCGTATGGTGTCAACAGTTGACTGGGTTCCACACCCTCTGCTCCAAAAGTCAGCCACTCAGCACACCACAATCCTGTTGTGTAACTGTCAGGCCGGGCTGGGCGACCACCCGCACCTCAGCAGACCTGTCCTCAGTGGTTTAGGAGCTCTGAGTCGCAGATAGAAACAGTGAAACAGACGGAGAGAGATATTGTTTTGTCTAAAATTGTTTACAGAGAGGAGGGAGGGAAGGAGGGAGGGAGGGAGGAGGAAACTGAGCTGATGTAGAAGTATCAAAAAATAAAGCTATAGAAAATATGTGAGAAGGTGGGAAGAGGAAGAGAAACTGCACAGGTGAGAGATGAAGCGAAACGTGAGAAAGGGGCTCTGGGAGACAAGAGCATAAGAAAAAAGGTGTGAGTGCATGATGCGCTGGGTGAGGTGATGTATTGGGGAGACAGCGCTGTGGTTAGAGGACGACAGAGGTGAGAGGAAATTCCTCGGGGGCTGTTGCTCTGTTTATGTCTTCTTGTTGTTTTACTCCTGAGGAATATTGAGCCTTCAAGTCTGTACTAAAAAGACAAAGATGGCACAAGACACTCTTACCTGTGCAATCTGTCCTCCAATAGCTCGATGTACTTGGCAGTGTTCTCCTTCAGTCGGCTTTCTGTATGGAGAGAAAAGCACAAAGAGGGCAACGGCCTGTTACTTGCACTTCATTTATTACTTTTATTAGCCATGATGGGGTATCCTAGCAACAAATCACAGCTCTAATACCATTAAAACTGACTTGTCATTTGCTATCTTGTACACTGGTTTTATTGGGAAAGGTAGTCATCACAGTTGGCGATGGCAATTGTGGTGAGAAACTGCATGAGTCCACTTCAGTGCAAAAGCCCAGCTGGCTCTCTCTTAAGACAAACACACAATCGAAGAAAGATCATTCCCACTGCTCTAAGAAGGGATAAAATTGGAGATGGCCTGAGGATAAAAGGAGATTTTATCGTGGCATAGGTCCTTATATCCTGCCAGATTTTCTGTGGGGCATAAAGTTGGATGGATAGCTTATGTTGCTTCCTGTGCCCTTCTGCCAGCAGTGAGCTGAGCCTGAGGAGGCAGACACAGGCTGGCGGAGCGTCAGTCAGGATGGAGAGGAGGGCAATCTGAGCGCCGTTAATGAGCTCATGTATGAAACATGAGAATATGCCTCCCGCAGCAGCAGATCTTTGAACACAATAGGACGCACTTGTATCAAATTGCACCACGTATATATGTGCACAAAAGCAATAACTTTCAATACAACCCTCCCCCTCCACAGTGAAACCCACACCCACACACACACACACACACACACACACACACACACACACACACACACACACACACACACACACACACACACACACACAAAGCTGGTCTTGATACATCTGCCCATCCCAACATCTGTGCAACTCAACAACCAGTCAGATTCAGTGCTTTCCCACACCCTGATGCAGTGGCTCCCAAATGTGGGGGGTCAGTGCCACCCAATGCGGTTGCACATAATGATTAATAGGATAGGGAAGAATCAAAAAACATACTGTACTACACAAAATTGTTTATATTCTTTCAGACTTTTCTATAGTCACTTCTATTTTCTCTCAAAACAGTGGATACTTTTATCCCTACAAGCCTGTAAGAGTTTTCTAATGAAATAATCTGAGAAGGAGGGAAATTAATTTGTTGGTTAAAGGAACAGTTCGACAGTATGGGAAATATATAAATAAATAACTATATAGCTACAGCCAACAGCCAGTTAGCTTAGCGTAGCATAAAGACTGGAAACAGGTGGGAACAGCTAGCCTGGCTCCGTCCAAAAGTAAGAAAAAAACTCACTAACTCCCAGGTTATGCTAAACTAAGCTAACCTGCTGTTGACAGTAGAGTTACTTTACAGCTATGAGTGATATCAAGCATCAAATCAAATGAATAAGAATAAGAATATTTCCAAAAAAGTCAAACTACTCCTTTAGTTGAGCACATACCATATAGAAAAATCTATGATGGTCCTGCATAGAAATCGTTTCATTTTAAGAACACACAAGACAAAAATTGCTGGAAACTACTCCAGTGTAATGCCATTTAGCTTGCTCGCATTGACTGGAGCTCACACAGAGAGAAAGTCACCTAATTGGGTGTTCTGAATCACACTGAGGTTTGAAATATAATTTGTATCATTGTCTTCATGGTGGTTATTAGACAGCATCAGCTCCCGGATGAGACAGGCTGCGGGCTGGCACAGCGGGAGGTAAAGGAAAATGTCTGAGAGAAAGTGACTGTGACACACACACACACACACACACACACACACACACACACACACACACACACACACACACAGAGACAGAGACTTATACACACATATTTCCGTCCATACTTTGGTGAAGAATTGAGATGGAGATAGTCGGGCTATTTATGGGGGTTGCGTGTGTGTGTCACAGAAAGAGGGATCATGCCTGAGAGTCATCTTCATTCAAAGTGGCCAAATCTGCTCAATCAGAGGGAAGAGGGAGGCTGCTGGAGCAGCTATCAAATATCTGGTGTACGTGGACCAGACAGCTCACTTACCACCCCTCTAATTGCTATGTGAGATCCTATCCTGACAAAGTCTCCCTTGTCAACTTCCATTCATGTGGGCTCCGTTAAGCAGCGTGCAAGGAGATAGCCACTGAATAATACATGGGGGCATTAAGCCTGACTTTGGATGGCAGAGAGCATGTACAGATGCGAGATGACAAAGTAGGCTGCAGCTCGAACAAGAGCAAGAGCCAGATTTAGAATTAATATATTGTGAGGGATGGAAAGAGTAAATATAAAAGGCGGATGAAGATGGGAGATACAGACACAAGTGTATCAACTGTTAACTTAATATTTCTTCCTGTGCTGATACTGTTATACGCCGAGGAGAGTCGGTGCGCCATCCTGTCGCCATGCCAACCGGTGGCAAAACTAGTGAGCCTTTTCGGGCGTGACAGATGAAAATAATCTTTTCTTTATAGAATGGGACAAGACATCAAGCAGCAGAGCCTCCTCCTGTGCTGAGTGGAACCAGAGCACTGGGTGATATTACTACTTCCTGTAAGTCTGCGGGAGGCTGCTGTCATTGGCAGGCCATGCGAATAAAACTGGCACTAAAAAAAAAAAACCTAGAGAAGAGAGCCACTCTGTTAGTCCCTCATACATGGGGCCATATATTTGGTGTTGAAGGAACCTCACAGCGTCCGCATTGGAAAATTCATGAGCTCAGCCTCCCCCTCACACCAGTGATCTCAGCAGGTGCTAAACATCACTGATTTTTGCCAAGGACCCCGGCCAAAATCGAAGAGGCCACTCATTCATAATACAAACAGAGCTGAGACACTATTGGAAGATGGTGAGACTGTGTTACTGGATGTTGCAAAGAGGCCATTTGCTTCATATAGGTCAAAATGCTCATTCATTAGCCTAATGAAGAAATAATTACTTCAGCTAAATAGATGTAAAGTTGATAAAAAAAATGATGAATCTAATTATTATAATCAGCGATGTAGACAGACAAAGCAAATGGAGCAGACACACAGTATCTCCCAGTGATGCGCGATCCGCGATGATGAAGTTATGGGCTTTAATGAGCCAGCAGAAGTTAACGATTGCAAGGTGTTTGGATTTGCTGCGGCATTGTAAGCATTTAAACAGCTCTCTAATTGAAAGTGAATAATGCAGTAATTTCTTCACTTGCGTCATAACAATAAAAGCACCCAACATCTGCGAGGCCTTCATGTTGTCGAACAAATTAGAGGCGGCTCTGTGCTAACGCAGCACCACCGATATGCATGTTATAAAAGCCTGCGCATAATAAGGCAGAAGAGAAATTGTGTGTCTTTGTAATCGAGTTGAAGGCACTGACTGTGATTAATGTGTTTAAGCTCAGCTCGGGCTGTTTGAGTGCAACAGCACTGCAGGTAACACAAACACAGTGTCAGCATATGCAGACGCTCACAGTGTATGAATGTATCTGAACCTAACTGCAGCCCGGCAGCATAGCTAATGGAGGAAGAGGGACAGGCTGATATCTCAGACAGACACTCAATAACCCATGATGCTTTAAGGCCGCGGGATCACAGAGCATAGCAGTGCACAGACTGCAGCCGGCACGCCGTAACATATTGTTGGGCTATGCACGAATTCACAACAAAAGGAATCATTTGACAAAAAATTGGCTGTGTGTACAAAATCTGTGCTTGGGTGGATATGTATATATTTCAGTTCTGGGTGCTGAATTGCTCTGACTGAAAAGTTAGATGTACTCGCTGACATTATGACTCAAGTCAAACCCAGTAAACAGAGTTTGTTTAGAAGAGACGCCGAACTTATTTTGCTGTGGGCAGCAAAATAACATTTTGTTAGAGGCTCAGAAAAGTGGAACTCTCCCAAAGTTATCAGGTGATGCCACTAGATGAAAAGTCACATGGTAATACATCCAGTAGCTGTTGAGATACTGTATCTCAGTCTGCACCAAAATGTAGGACTGACAGACTGACATAGTCATCCTGACTGAGCATGGCTGAAAACAAACAGCTGACAAACACATTTGTAGTCACTAGAAGTGACATAACAAACACTGTGAACCTCAGCCTTCTACTGAGCGCTACTGATTCAAAGAAAAGCAATTGATTGATGCAGTGGTGGTTGCTACTGTAGTGGTGCCTCAATCAACTTCTCTTTGTTTTTGCAGTGATTCTCGTGGGTATGGATGTTATGATACTCATGACAAATTCACAATGGAAAGACATCCTCTGCTGAATCACAGGAAAAAATGAATACCGCCAAAACTTCAGAGACAAAAACCAGGCAACATTCTCCTGGGTCCACTTAACCACTACACCGCTCTCAATCATTCAGGCTCTTTAGGAGAGGAGCTGTCATACGTTCCATCATGCCATCAGCAGAAGCACCCTGAAAGAGGCATGAATAAATCATATATGTCCTCACCTTTACGATTGGCACTCCATTAAGAGGAAATTGCTTTTGTTTAATAACACGGAGTGACAGTATTTTGATGTGCAATTGTTGCACAGGTGAGTTTGGCCTGGACGGGCTCCATAAACCTGCACAGATGTGACACCAGAGCGAGAGAGATTCAGTAAAAGACAAAAAAAAAAACAACAACCTCTAATTAAATGCGTTCCAGTGGAGCCATGAGGAGCAGACAACTTACTGTCTTCATCACAGATGGCCACATTACTCCGCTGTTTCAGAACATACCGCCTGCATACTAACAGTAGCATTAAAAGAATACTTGGATAAATCAAGAGGAACACACACTGACGCTGCCTCCTACATTTGAATGTCCTCACTCCTGGGGGTCATTTACTCATCTTATTCGGCTCCTCAATTATTTATTTGTAAATTTAGTATTACTCCAGATCTCTCTTGGGGACAAAATTATACCCTCAGTGGGGAATCAGACCTCGGGCTATAATGGGTTTGGTATTCATCAGCAATCGAGCCAATGGCAATTAGGGGCTTAATGGCTCCCAGGCCAAAAACCCCCACACCACAGAGTACACTGGGCGGAGATGCTCAACAAGCTAACGCTGTGGAGTTTAACTGAATGTATGTATTTAGATTTTGTCAAGGCATCAGCTGAACAATGTGTTGCTTTACAGCTCAGCCCGTGACAACAGACTTTCTCATGAACAGGCGTATGGTTTCCTTGTTATACGATGGCACTAGTGTCATGAGCGAAAAAAATGCCCCAGAAACCAAAAGGATGGCCATCTCGACTTTGAAGCAGAAAGTAATTTCTAATCCCCCCTAGCTAAAGAAATGGTAATGTGCTGTTTGTGGGCTATCAGTTTCCAGCTAGCGTGTGCCAGCCCCTTATTACCAAAAAGGATGACAGTTTAATGAGCCCTTTGCTTGGTGTCAGCAACACATTGTGAAATTGTGCCTGCTGCCATATTGTGAGCACCCACTTGAGCATCTGAGCGCGCCACACAACCAATCATTAAGATGCCGTCTCTTCCCACATTTGTGACGTGTTACCCACCTGATTCCCGTCCCCTTTGTTTAGCTGGAGCGTTTTACATGTCACTGGTTTCCCAGCCTCCGTGTTCTCGAGAGCTGCATTATTCTGCGTGAGGTGCTCTGTGTGTTTATGGTGCTGATGTGAACTTGAACGTGTCTTTGGTGGCTGTCACCATCCCTGGTTGGTTAGCAAGTCATGGTGTGCAGGACTGTGCTCCAGCAGCAAAAATCAGGCAGGTGACTGAGTTTCATGCGCATAGGTGGAATGAAAAGAGAGATGATTGGTTTTGAAAGCGAAAAGAATCGGTGTCCACGTCAATAATATGAATTTATGGAACTGGCATGAACAAAAATACCAAGTTCATGCATTACCACATACCCCATGTAAACTCGATGCACCTCACCCTGATTGCAACAATGAAAGTGTGCCCCCTAGTGACAGCTGAGGGTGCATTCAGGACAGGGACAAAGGCTCGACACTAATGGTGACGCTGCAGCCACAGGCCTTAATGATTTACATAACAGTGGAAGTTAGATGGCTGATTGCATGCTTCGGGGTCTGCAGCAGGAGCCCGATCCAGAGCTCCAGTCCCCGACAGCCTGCTCTGGCCCCGTCACTTCACCGTTCCCCCCCCTTCCTCTCCCCGTGCTCCCGTCTCACTGCCTCAGAGAGCGGAGTGACCTTTTTTAGAAATCTCCCTGTGACTGATGGACTTGAGAGAGAGAGAGAGAGAGAGAGAGAGAGAGAGAGAGAGAGAGAGACTGCAGGTGGTGCCGTCAAAATCCATTTATCTCTCTGCCAGTGCCAGGAGGACAAACCAATCTAACCCCACCCCACCCCACCCTAAAAAGCAAGCAAGCCCCTTCTTTAAGCAGCATTCAGATCTCCTCTAGTTGGAGTGTGTGTGTGTGTGTGTGTGTGTGTGTGTGTGTGTGTGTGTGTGTGTGTGTGTGTGTGTGTGTGTGTGTGTGTGTGTGTTATTGCCGATACTGTCATGTCTGCACTCAGTAGCTTGGAGGTAATTGGCTACTTCACACAATCTAAGGATCATTTCCCCTGCACCACCACCACACCCCCCTCCTCCTATTAACAGCTGCCAATCCTGCTGGTAAATCATTTGATGATCCAAGTCCCACTGACAGCAGCAGAGCACTTCTCCTTCATTTGGGAGTAAAGTCATTGTCCAGTGATGTCCTCGCAGTGTGGAGCTACATCAAGAGAGGGCTTGGATTGATACTTAAAAAGGTGTATTCAAAGAAAGAAGGGCCACCTTTTAAAAATACGATAAATGCTTTCTTGTCTCGGTGTGCAGGTGAAAAAAACACAGCATTGTTCTCTCAGATAACATATTTTTAAATTAATTCATGTGGATGGTTTGTTACTCTTACTTCTACCCTGTTGCCCACAGCAGTCCAGTTTCTCCTTTAAGATGAAAGCAGCTCATGTGACCTTGATGCAGACCGGCCTCAGTGACTCACCGTGCTGGGCCTCCCTCTGCTCCAGCTCCTGCCTGAGCTGCTGCCGCTGCTCCTTCATCCTGGCCAGCTCCTGGCTGCTCCCCGAGCTGAGGCTGTGCAGCCTCTTGGCCAGAGCCTCCAGCCGGTCCCGCTCCAGGTACACCGCCTTCATCTCAGCCTTCAGCTCCTTGGCACTGCTGAAGTCATTACCTGCACCAGTGCACCACAGGAGGACATTAAGCTTACACTGCCTATTTACGAGCGTCTTGATCATTAATGGCATAATTAAGCGGGGCTAATGGTGGGCGATTCAAATAAATGAGGTAAATAAAAGACGTAAAATCCAGGCAGGGGTGTACTGGGGTGTGGTTGAGCGGAGAGCTACCTGAGATGGCTGCCAGTTTGGCTTCATGCAGTGCCAAGAGCTGCGTTTCAGTCTCACTGACTTTCCTCCTCAGGCTGCTGCCCAGCCTCTGACTCATGACCACCTGGGGAAAAGAAAAGAGAAGAAGAGGCAGAGGAGAGAACAGGGTAGGGGGGGGGAGGGGAGGTGGTAACTAACAAAACCGTTGCAGACACATGGATCCCACAGGATGCATAGCTCATTTCCAATTCCGTTTTCATTTTCTCTCTGACACTCATTCTTACAAGGCCTTACAAATTCATTTCCGTCCGCACCGCTTTGAATACACAGCAGAGTATCAACGCCCATGTGTTACCTTGTCTGTAACCTTTAGGAAGAAAGAGTGCGCGTCTCTTTCTGGTGGACAGACAGGGAAATGTGAAATCTCCATAAAAGATGCCATTAGAATGTCAGAGAGGAAAAAGGCCCTGAATGTCACGGGCCTGATGGGGACGCAGCACCTCAGATCTGAAATATTCACGGAGTTGATGGCTTCAGATACAGCATGTCAGGCCCCCCATCTGCCCTCGCTCTGCCCTTTAAACCTCTGTTCTTTCCAACGTATTCACTTTGACACACAATCCAGATACAATCCCCATGATCCGCTTCGTTTCTTTTGAGGAACTATTTTCACTGCTCAAAGGGATGCCGGAGCCGGATTTTCTGACGCATTTTCTTGTTGAATCTGACACAGTTTTCTGCAGCACTTTGAAAAGGCTGACAAATAGGTTGGTATTTCTGAGGCAGAACATCTCCAGGGAGTTTTCTTCCCAGAGAAATATAGAAAACACTTCTTTCAAACGGGCTTGCATAATTTTATTTCACAGATTACATGAACTGGGAGCTGCTCTGGAGCGCTTCTCAAACTGTAGAAATTCCAACATTGGTGATTTAATTTCAACACATCTGGCTATTTGTCAATTTCGAAAAAGTCAATATGGAAAGTGAAAGTTATTTTCACTGCGGCAATCATTTTGTCACAGCCGGTGTGCTATTTTCCACATGGTGGATATCTCATTTAGGAACAAACCTTTTCATTTCAGCTTAACAATGGACAGACTTGTGACTGTGGCAAAAGTGTCTCTTTGTGGAAAACCAATATATTCCTCTGATGTGCCGTCGTAGCATCAACCAACCATTTGATGATGACTTTCTAAAGGACATAGTGACAGTAAAAAGGTCTTTACGGAGCCCCCTGCCCCCCTGCTGTGCCCACCACTTCTTTCAGATTTCTGCGACTTCCGACTATTTCCAGATCTACTGTATGTGCAGAGATCAGTGAGAGGGAAAAGCAAACCCCTGAGAAAACCCGTGAGACACATACAAACGGAAGCAGGCAAAGCCATTCACACACAGGAATACACCACTGACATGCATAGAAAACCCACTGCATTCATAACTTTACTTATTTGGTTGCTTTTCTTTTTCTCATAAGAAATAAAAAAAAAAACATTTTTTTACACTGTTATGTTGTTTAACAGAGGATGTTACCTGCTGTTTCTGACTCTCAGCCTACAACTGCCTTGTCAAACAGGCTCATGAACACAGACATCAACATTTAGTATGCATATTTAACACAACTGAAGCTGGCACACAACACATACCGTCTATTTTGACTTACTACTCATTAGATATTCATACACATTCAATCACTCTTGGCATGCTGAAGGGAGGCTGAGCTGCCAGTCAGAGGAACAGTGGCTTACTTTAGCAGTGGCTTCCTTGATGGACAGATTCAATGCCTGCTCCTGCTCCTGGAGCCTGCAATGAGAAAATCAAAATGTTGCAGTGCAGCATAAAAACTAATTTCTTGTGATTTCTTCTTCACTTGAGGGCTTTTTTTGGATCTACTCATTTGGCTGCTCAACACAGAATGGTTTATCCACTGTCAAGAGAATGACTGAGTGCGTTATAACTTTTATAAAGGGATTTCTTAAAGGACTCATCCAGTGAGTGAGAGCAGAAGAGGAGGCACTAGTTATTCACTGATAAGTCTACATCCTGTAGCAGCAGAAACTTCAACAAAAAGCCTGCGGATAATAGAATAAGAGGTTGGCAGGTTTAAAGTCTGGTTGGATGTAAAAACTGGACTGATTTTTATTTTTACCATTTTGTGGTCTGATACAGGAATTATTCTGTGTGCTGAAGGACAAAATTAGGGCTGTAATTAATGCATATTTTCATTGTTTGATCATTTAATCGATTAATATTTTGCTCAATCATTTTGATCATATGTCTTTAGGTCTTCCTTTGTCTGACCAACAGCGCAAAACCCAAAGAGGTTCAATTCAAAATAACAAAAAAAGAAAAGCATTTGGAACCAACGTCCATTTTGTTTTTCTGATGTTTTTGCTCAGACTTGCGGCCACCACCTATTGAGCTGAGTGGAGCTGCAGGGTCAGATGATGATAATGATGTGCGGTCTCATCACTATCAACAACGGCTTTCACACAACACAAAGTCAGTCGATCCATTGTTATTACAAAAATATTGACCACAGCTGCAAAAAAAAAAAAACTGCAATAGGTGATGTGTTTTTTTGTCCCTTGGGGGAAGCAGAAACAACCTGCAGTTTATATGGCAAACCAGCAGATACAGAGCACTATCATTCAATTTGGAGTCGTGTTCCTGGCGCCTACCTGCTGAATGTAAGTCCACTATGTTCACCATCTAGCCTTTAACTGTGTCAGCTAACAGTGAGTTTTTAGAGCTGCCTGCTGAGAACGACATCAGGACAGCTGTGAGAGTGAATCAGAGTGGGAAAGCTGTGAGCTGAAACTCACTGTAAAGATGAGGCGAGCTGCAGATTTAGGTGATAGGTTCATCACTGCCGGTTGATTTTCTGTCAGTCAGCTGATCGAGCCATTAAATTGGTTTAGCTCTGGTAAGGATTAAGCATCCTTGGTGACAAACCCAACATTTTTGGGATCGAATACCCCTCAACAGAACAAAGTCTTATTGTAAAGAAGCACCATCCACCAGGTCCAGTTTATAGTGACAGGTAACAGCCAGGTCCTGCCTGTTCTTCATTCTCCAGTCACTCCTCTCGTTTAGACGTTTACTACATCTTCAAGACAATAATCCGGCCCATTATTTTTAATTTCTAAGTATAAAATGTCATATAAGGACATGAAAAACGACTCTTTAAAAAAAAAACCAAAAAAAAAACACTTTTTAAAAATCACATTGCAATTATTAAAGCTCACTAAGGGCAGCCGAGCTGAAAATAAGACTGCGAGATGATTTGTTGCTCGGTCACAGCTTTAAATCTGTCATTTCAGTTTAACCTGTAACATTTTTACCTGACTGAGAGCCTTTATTATTCCTACAATAATAACGGCAGCCTTTAAAGCAGCTTCTATCATAACCATGATAAAATATTGATGAATGCGTTTTCATCGACCGGCTCATTAGATTTAACTGTCCAGATGAATACTGCAGATATCAAGGGTAAATGTCGTATTACGGTAGGAATGTTAGTGCTGTATGTAAACATGCAAACAGGACAAACCATTAAGGTCACATTATTTGTTGACAGAGATATGAATCAATTACTAGATGGGGGAGGGGGGGGGCATGAAATCCATTATGCACAACACAGTCACCTTGAGAACCGTCCCAGTCGTCCCGTATCGTAAAAATCAGTTTGCCCTTTACATGTTATTCAAACGGATGTTCAGGGTGAGTCAGACTAAGATGTTGTCTCTGAACATCAGCGTTACAACATCCTCTTTTTTTTTTCTTTTTTTTTTTTTTTTTTTTTTAGGGCTTCAGGTCTTACAGATAGTGTCGATTTCTTTTATCCAGTAACCGGAGGAAAATACACTTTGATATGAGAAAGAAAAGCCCCGTGTTATTTGGGAAGGGAACTGCAACACAATCATCATGATGACCCAAAGCGCGCCACCCGGAGATGTGCAGCTGAATATCCAATCTGGGGCCGCAATTTTCAATCAGCAGCGAGAAGAAATGCGTTCCAGATGGGGTGAGAAATGTCAGATATCAAATTATGCCAGTGATGGTGGGTCACGCCACCGAGAAGGCGATAAGTACAATTTACATGTCTTTCTAACGAGTGGCAAGACAGAGAGGCTTTCCACAGTGCTCCCTCGCAAGCTATTAACTTCAGAGGATATGATGCAAAGTAATCATTTGCATCTGAGAAAAACCATTAAAATTCAAAGCAGGTTCAAGCAGGTGTGAGGGAAGAGGGAAGAGGACTGGGGGCACAGGGGATGCGAGGGATAAAGAAAAAGTTGTTGTGGCTGCTTGATACATCCTCTCTGAATCCGAAAACAAACAAGTTGTTCTTCGTTAAGTCTTACGAATCAGTGCATTACATGACATTCAGTTGGGAGGCGCTTTTGTCGAGACAGACCTACAGTAAATGCTTTCAACCTCCATGGGAGCAAAAGCTAGATGTAAAAAAGAAAAAAATTCTCCCAAACATCCAAAAATCTGTGCAATTTGAATTATCCTTTGTGTGAACATACTGTACATCCAGTATGTGTCTTCCATGCAGTTATTTGTGATGTTTTTGGCTGAAACGTGACTCCTGGCACGAAACAAGACAGTCCTGCTGTAAGACTGATTCAGAATGTCACTTTGTTTGTCAGAGGATTAATGAAGCTGGGAGGAAAAAAGATTTAGTGAAACACATCTGCACTGACACATCCTCCTCGAAACCAGCTAATTTAATGATAAGAAAATACGTGACATGATACAGGGAGAAACACTCATGAACTGATGACTGCTGTAGCGTCACTCCTCGCTCACAGCTCTCTAGCAGCCCCACCTGGTGACGAGTGGTACTGCATGATGGGGGGGTTCTGCATGTGTTAAACTTCTCACTGGGGCAACAGGGACTTCACTGTTAAAATATCGGCCACGCCTCGACAAGGAGCACACATATTTTGCGTTTGCCATATGATGTAATATATCAATACCACAAAATATATGATGAACAATATATGAAAAATAATAGAAGTTCTACAACTTTCTGGCTCAACCAATCAGAAATTGACTCCAGTGACCGTCACACAAAGGTGTAAGATGCAGTTGTATTAAGTGTGTTTCTTCATAGAAGACTCCACAGTGCAGTTTGGCATTTCGATTTTCCACATGCATTTACACATCTTCTCCACTACGCTGCAGAGCAGGAGCACACATGGCAAAGGTCACTAATATGTTCAGAGATCTGTAGTAAATCTGTCATGATATACCACTACTGACGCTATCTGTGATATTTTAAAAAATAAATATTGATATTGTGTTCAAAATTGAGATATGATAACATTGTGAGGGCAGATGTTGGGCCTTGTGGATCTAATGTTTCATCTGGTTGCCTTTTCACTGTCCATTAAGTGCGCACTCCTATTTGAGTCTAATTCATTTTCCAGACAAAACACCCAATAAACAAATTAAATATGAATTTGACAGATTGCATTTTTTTTTCAAATTTTCTATAGAAGTCATGATAATATCATTATCTTGAATCCTTTTGGCCACGATAATCATGTAGTGAAAAACTGATATTGTGACAGCCCTAGTTTGCTCATTGGGATTTAACTCTCTTTGTGCAGGTGGTCACATAATTATGGAATGAGTAAATGTACCTGAGCAGCCAGTCCTGTGCCAGGTAACAGCAGGTTTGATTCAATAATTAACTTTCAGCTTTTTAGAAAGCCTAAAATTTCATCAGTAGTAACAAAAACAGACTCATCTGAATCTGAAAATGTCTCATGCAATCATCCTGATGGACATTTTTACAACACATTATGACAAACTTTGGTATGAGCCTATATATCTTTATGTGCAGCTAGTAGTTATGCAAGCATGTAATCAAGTACTCAGCGTGCACCTGCAAGTCTATGACACATTTGTCCAATTCAACACTCATGTAAAGTAAGTCATTTGGTGTAATAAGAAACTAGTAAATGATTCTGCATGCATGTGATGCTGACCTGAGCAGGGAAGATGGCGGCGAGACGGAGATCTGCATGCGGTTTTCGGATGTGACGAGGTCCTGCATGGTCCGGCTGATGTCGCGGAGCTGGGCAACGGTGCAGCTCCTCAGCACGGAGCCCTCCAGCTCCTCAGCCTCCACCTGCTGCTCCTCCTGCTGGATCTGCTGCTCCAGGCATCGACTGCGGTCCCTCAGCTCCGCCAGCCTCTGCTGCAGCTCGGCTATCTCCTCCTGCAGAAGGTTTCAACACTTTCACTTTTGATCCTGGGGGTCATTTCAGGTTTTATTCATCAGTTTGAGTTTTTCTTCTCCTCTCTGTGTGTGTTGGCATAACATTGTTCTGTTTTTATGGAGCTAATTGGGATCCTTATAAATTAACTGAAATGAAATAGCAGCACTTTAATTATCTAAACCAGCACTACGTTCAAGTACATAAATAAATGAGCATTTATCAGTACTATTATGTGGCAATATAAGTTTTGTATTATAAGTATTAATGAGATTAGGTACTTGACTATTAAGCCACTTTAAGTTTTATATTAATGACAACTCTGGCTATTGATGAAATGTCCTTCATGTGAGGAAGGAAAATGCAGTGATAAAGGCAGAGTACAAGAAACAGGCTAGAGACACACACGTGACACAAAGTGCCAGAAATGACCACTGAGAGCTTTCATGACATAACACGAGCTGAATTTACCTCCACCATCCCTTTCTCTCGGATGAGACGATCTCTTCGATGCAGCGGTCCCTGCAGTGAGTCTGTCCGCTCCCCCGCATCAGGCTCTGCGCCCTCCCTGACAACCAGCCACAAAAACACACAGTCACTGGTGCTGCTATTTTTAATCATGACATTACTAAACCGTATTTATTAAACCTTTCATCCACATTTCAGGGTCCTTTTGGATTTAATGTACCATTATAACAACAGTTTTTTTGAGCCAGTCTATTAATGCTTTTCTCTTTCTCCAACTCACAGACTCTATTTAACAGAGCTGACCCCTTCATCTCTTCATGTTTTCCTGTTGTAAAAACTGGGACAGAGACACAGGTATGTGCAGAAAACACAGTAACACAGCACTGCTGCATGAGCTTTCAGTTACATTTGTTCAGGATGCCCTCAGGAGGGACCCCACCTGATTCCCTTCCTGTTACAGGAGCTATTTTTGACATCCCTCTGTCTCCGCTCTGTCCTGCAACATTACAATGGAGGAAAGAATGGGCCATTTCAGAACCATTTATATTACATTATTGGATCACTTTAAGGTAGAGCTGCAGCAAATAGTCAATTAATCATTTTGGCAACCAACAGAAAATTAACTTGAAAATATCTTGATAATCAATTAATGGTCTTAATATTTTCTTTTAATCAAAAATGCCAAAGATTGACTGGTTGCAGCTTCTCAGATGTGAGGATTTTCTCTTTTTCTTTGCAATCTAAGAGTAAATTGGACATCATTGATTATTCTATATACTGTGGTGTAGCTTATGAATTTATCCCCTGGGATCATTGAGACCTTATCTTAATCTATTTTAAAACATCATAATTAATTTGTTGATTATATTTTTGTTTTATTAATCTGAAGCTGTAAAATAAATAAATAGTGACTAAAGTTGTAACATAAATGAAGTGGAGAAAAAAGAATAATGTTTGCCTCTGAACTGTAGTGCAGTAGAAGTATACGGTAAGAGTACCTCAAAAACTACACTTGAGTGAAAGTTCGTAGTTACTTTCCACCACAGTTAAGTATTAAACTGAACTGTGATCCTCCACGTTAACACGGACCGACATTAACAAGAGTTTGATGATCCAACCATTTTGTCATGATGTTCCTTTCTTCTGGGTGTGTGTCTAGTCAGTGTGAGTGTGTGTCTGCATTAATAATGCATCATGGATCATTGTTGTCATACTGTTGTGTGACTGACCTGCGCTGAGTGCAGTCTGCCCTCTGGAGGGCGCTGTGCACCACCTGTGTGAGGCGCTCCAGGAACAGAGCCACGCTGGGCTGTCTGGAGGGTAAACCCAGCTGCAGAGCTCCTCGCTCCCTGCACAACTCCTCCAGCTTTTTCCCAAAACGCTCGGCTGAAAACACACACACACACACACACACACTCTGATTAACATGCATATACAAAAAACATTCAGTCAATAGCAACCAGGTCCAAGTCAGAAAGTCGATATAGAAACTTCTCCATACCGCTGTGTTGTGACTGTACACAAAGCAATTTACCGTGTCGGCCATAACATTTATGTAGCCTGCATTCGCTGAAATAACATGAGTACACGTATCATTCCTTATTCAATTAGCACATTAACTCTAACCAGAGAGCAAACTGAAAGAACATCATTCATTCATATCATTAACATCTTTTGACTCCTTAATTTCTTGACCTACAAACACACATGGAAGATGTTGAATCCTCCCTCTCTGTTGACTTCATGGTTGGAGCTAAAAAATGATTAACATCAAAGGGGGAAACATCCAGATCGTGGTCAGCAAGGAAATCTAATCAACTGTCTTTTTTTCTTGTTTACAACCTTTCTTGGAAAGCTGTTCTTGAGCTTTTTGAGCTTCCTGCCGACAGAAAATCAGAAAATGAAGTTAACGCGGAACAACTGGCACAGTTTAAAACGCCGGAGAGGGGTTTGTGATGCACAGTATCAAAAGGCAAACAGAAAACCTGACAAGACATACTGACCCAAATACTCAATGCACAAAAATAGTTCAAGGTCTGCAGGACCCTGACAACAGATGTTGGTTTTTTATTTTCGTCACAAGGGCCAAGAAATGGGTCAGAAAACAGTTTTCTCCTAAAAATAAACTTTCCTCACTGGAAAAAATATTCAGGTCAAACAGGAACTGAAATAAGTGCAGGTTCTCCTGGACATGGATGAAAAAGGAGTCCGGATTTAATTTGTTAGGATTGAGGAGTCTCTGCTTCTTTTCCATCCAGTCTTCAAAGTTAAAACATCAAATGCTGAGTGTGAATGTTGAAGCATGAATCACAAAGCCCAAGAAGCCCAAGGTTTTTCTCATGAATATGTGGAAATGAAAATGTGGAATTGGATTCAGCTTTACTTACTCTCTGTGCAATATTCATTGGTTTTTGGTGTTGAATTTGACTTCGCTGACTGATCTGATGAGTTTATCACTTTCAAGTACAGACACACAGACTCTGACTCAACTGTCAAACTAACCCTCAAACCAAAACAATAATTATTTTATGTGTGTAATCTTCCGGTAATAGACACCATGCACACATAAGCCAAAAATACATGACTGGGACGTTTCAGTAATCGGCACTAAACTCTCTGCTGTGAGTTCGATGTCATTCACATGTCAGAGTCAGTAAACAACAAACCATTTCTTCTGCACTAATTAATGCGCGGCCCTCTGCCCTCACGTGCTTTATCACTCATTTCAGTATGATGCAGAACTAATCGAGTTAGCAAGAAATCCAATCAAGGAAACTGGGTGACTTGCGCATCTTCACTCATTAAACACAAATGTCAAATCCTGACTCAACATGGCATTGAAACGTCGATGTAAATGAGGATTAGATTCTCACAGAGTTGCCATATGAAAAGCTGCTACAGCTTCTTGACCACGCAAACAGTTCATGTTCACTTTGTCCTGTCCTCCGTCCAAGCATGTAATACAACATATAACATGAGAATTTTTCTTGATTAGGAGTGAAATAATTTATTCAACAAATTAAGTTTGTAAAAAAAAATATCAAAAGAAAGGAAAACATGGAAGAAATTCAATTTACTGTGGTTCAAAGCTAGCACTCTTCAATCCGTCCACGGCGACAGTATCTCATCATCCAAATCTGAAATGACCTACTTATTGAACCAATGGCTCAGCTGAAAGTCTTAGTTCACCTGCGTCATAGTCATCATCCAAAATGGCCTTCTGCTGGAGTCTCTGCAGCTTCAACATCATGGACTCAATCTGAGAGGAAGACACAATGGACAGAAGACAGATCAGATTAGCTAACAGTCCAAAGGTCAAATGCTCTTTAAACAGACGCCACAGGCCAAAAAAACTAAGCAAAAAAGTGTGGGTGCAATGACCGTCATTTCAAAGGGACACCAGGTCAGCAAGTTGAGGACTGGGTATGAACCTCATCATATAAGGTATAAGGTCCAGGATAATGTATATGGGTTGTAATATAATGTGTGGCTGTTCTACCCCTTTTATCCTTTAATTACATAACAAGAAAAAGGTTGTTAACGGCATTTTTTTCCAAACTTCAATCTTGTTTCCTAGTACAGCACCCTGCAGGTACCTAGTATTTAAAGGTATCATTTATTTCTCCTTTCCTCTAAAATGCCAAGTTGTTCTTCCACTGTACCTACATTTAAGTATCAGTAGGAACCAGTAAGTATTTTATTGGTACCTGGTTCAGACAACAAAATTATACTGTAAATCGGGGCTGTGTTATAAAGTATTTATAATAGTAGTAATTGCATTCATTTTTTGGGTACATTTCTCCAGTCTTTTAGTCTTTTAGTCTTAAATACGAGGTGGTTTTACTTCATCTATGTTTACCTCGGGAGTTAGATGAGAAGGGCTGATGCCACAGATGTCCGCTACAGTGGTATCAGTCTCAAGTATCAAGTTCATGGTAAGGACATGTAGAGTTTATGCACTAAAAGGATGAATTCTTCCAGCCATCCCACCATAAAAGTATCAAATGGATAGGAAACAGAGACAAAGGATCCTTCTTATTACCACATCAGAGATTTGTATGACCAGCTCATGGGTCAAAGGGTCCTTCAACAGGATCAGCCACATGGTCACAAGGCAAAATGGGAATAAAATCTGTTTTGTAACAATAAGACTTTATGTGTGTATGTCATTGTTATATAAAAGTTAACAACAAAGGGAGTCTCACACATGCACAGACAGACACACACACACACACACACACACACACACACACACACACACACACACACACACACACACACACACAAACAAACTAGTGTTTCCCCTTCTCTTTCCTCTTTAGATAACACAATCAGAAATCACAAGTCACATTCCATTCTCGAGTAGAAACATCATTTTCCTCTTTTGAAACACACATCTCAAATAATATAAAATTAGTAATATAAAACATGTAAATTAGTTCAGTCCCCTGATCTATATCATTTAGATGGTCAGAAGTTTGTGATGTAAATCCTGTTTGAGGCAATATGTGACTACACTGCCAGGATCCTCCATACAAGATAACAAACATTCAAAATGGTGACTTCACTATTATTATAATCAAAGGACTGCTCTGTAATCCACAATTATTTCTTATAAGTGCTAGGATCCATTTATTATTTATTTTCAATGATGTACTAGTATGAAATCCAAATGTGTCTTATTCCTTTCTGTCATTATTAGCGCCATTAGGTTTGTATATTGTTTTTTTTAAGTTATTTTTAGGGCATTTTTTCCTTTATTGTTATAGCACAGTGAGAGAGTGATGGAAAGCCAGGGGGAGAGAGAGAGAGAGAGAGAGAGAGAGAGAGAGAGAGAGAGAGAGAGAGAGGATAACATGCGGCAAAGGATTGCTTTTAGGCTTTGTGCCATGCTGCTGTTTTGCGCTTATTTGTACATCTTTTATGCTACAAGCCAAGTCAATACCAAATGAATCAAAAGGTCAAAGTATCTCATAATGTTTGATAAAATTTTAATCATTATTAACACGTGTTTTGAAGGTTTTTGACAACTCCAATCTCCTCCTAAGTCTCTCCTTTAAGTCCCGTAATTAGTGCTTTATTTTGCATCAACCCGCAGTAGAACTGGCAGACAACACTATCTGCCCCTGACCGCCTACAAACTGCCAAGCTGAGAGAGCCGACGGAGCCAGTTGCCCGGTAACTACACCTCATCTCCAGGGAAACCACCCCAGAGTCGGTCGTGAAGAAATCCCCAGCTTTAAACACCAACAACTGCAGGTTCCAACCAGGAAAATCTCAAGCTCCAGGGCGACTCACAGCAGGTGCGACTCGCTTTTCTGCTCATGATTGCATTGATGTTGAGATAAAATATTATTTTAATCATCAAATTTCATTAGTAGACATCTTAGTATCAATTAGTCATATAGCCTTATAGTAAATAACCAAATCCTATTCTCTCCCACCATTGCCTGATTCATTACAGTTTATTTTATCAGCTGTTGATTAAACCTGTTTTTTGCTCCACTTTTCATCTTGATGATTATCAGACATTGCATTTACTGTGTATTAGTTTGTTGTTGTTGTCCTGTTTTGTCCCTTTGAAGTAGAATCGAGAGGTCACAGCCTCTGATATTAAATCCTATTGATTGGATTCATTATATTAAATAATTAATGTATTAATTATTACCCCTGGAGATGGGAGGTGATTTTTAAAAAGAGGCTTTTGTTGCTACACTGCACTCATGTCTGATGCTAAATGTTATGCCATACAACCAGCAGGCGTTAGCTAAGATTAGCACAAACACTAAAAACAAGAGGAAACTGTAAATGTCTGTCTTGTACCAAGTAAACAAACAACATATAACATGTTAATTTGTGAGATTTAGAATTAGTTATTCAGCTGGTTGGTGGATTTTGTCACCTTTGTCTTTCTTGTTTTCTTTAAAGAGGACATCTTAATGTGTTTTGGCCTCAGTCTTGGTTCTGAACCTTGTCTTGAAATTGACTTAGAGCCAATTACCGTGGTTGTGACCTCAGCCCTGCTTTTCATGCTCACATCAGGAGTCTATCATACCCACCTTGGTGTGAGTGCGGTTGTTTTGGAGGCAGTCCTGCAGCACGACCTCGTACCTCTTCACCAGGTTGTCCCAGCCTTGGTCGGAGGCGGGCGTGGCACTCTCATAGCCGGAGGTGACAGAGGAGGCCGAGGCTGTGTCCGAGTCCACAGACAGTGAGGAGGTGATCTCTATGTCCAGAGATTGGGAGTCACAGTCAGGCAGGTCGGACGTAACCTCGCTGTCACCGCACAGACATTCCCGCCAAAACTTCCCGCTTAATGACAGCTCTTCTCTCTCTGCCTCGCTGCCCTGGACAGGAGTTGAATGCTTTGACACATCAGTGGGTAAGGTTGCCGGTTTTGTTTGAGGCGAGCTAGGTGCTTTAGTTGATTGATTAAGTGGTTCTGGTTCCTGTGCTGGTGTAGCAGTGGTTGTGTCTGTCGTCTGGCTGGAGTTGAGCGACTGCTGGATGAAACTGAAGCTGGAGTTAAAGGAGTCCTGCAGTGAGGACTGTAGTGCCGGGCTTGGTCTTAACCTGAGTTCACTCTGTGGCAGTGAGGACAAACCCTGATGGCTGGATGTACCATTAACAGCACTGCGGTCCACATGAGGAAGAGGATGGGTAACAGAGCAGATGACGCTTTTACTCTTCCAAGAGCTACATGTGAGTTTATCAGGCTGTGTCTGATTTATTGAGGAGACTTTGACAGCAGGTGTTCGACTCATCCTCTGAGTGCTGGTTGCCTCAGTGATGTCAGTGTGACGTCCAGATTTTCCGTTCCTCATGCAAGTGGTCCTCCCTTCCTCCTCCACCTCCTCCTCCTCCTCCTCCTCCTGTCCATAAGTAGTGCTCTGTAGTCTAGACTGCTCTCCTCTCATGTACCCCGGTCGTCGGTGGAGCTTCTTACGGCCGCAGCTGCCAGCTGTCCCCGATGCTCTGCCACCTGTCAATACAGAGATTAACCATTAAGCTGGGCAACACGGTCATGAAGAAGATAAAGAGTGAGCTCATAGAACTGGCAGGATTACCTGTGCAATCATGAGCTACATCAGGAACATGTTATGCTTAATGTGCCAATTACACAAGAATGTGAAAACACCGAATCATTAATACTCTCAGTGTGATATAACCAAGCTAAAAAGATTTCCACCCAGTCCCACCCCTCTGCCCTTCAGGCTAGCATCTCATTGCTAACTGAATGAAAAAAAAAAAACTTGGGCAGCTGTGTGACATTTCCCAGGGTTTTGCTCCAGCTGTTGGGAAATACCAAAGCCACACAGTAATTTTGAGTTAAGACACACCTCTCAGTTGAAGAGTGGACTGAATGAACAATACATTTGAATTTGTTTATAATTTAAAACACAGCCGTATCACCAGAGACTAGTTTTCAGACCATGTGGCAGCCAATCTGGGGGTTTGCAGGCTTTGTAGGAGTGGGGTGGAAGTAATGTTGAATGGGGATTAATGGACCTAAACAGATCTGCAGTGATGCCAGCAAAGCTATCAAGATTCAGATTGGCAAGAATTATTCAGACAACGTTATAGCAAGTTCTAATTTTGTGGGGCTGCTATGTTTGACACATTTAATGACACATTTAAAGCTACAGTATGTAACCTTTTTCAGATATTTTTTTTAGTTGAAATATGCTCCAAAGCATATCTGAATGTGGGGAGGTGCAGTCAAAGAGGCTTAAATCATTAACAATGAGTTGAAAGATGCTAAACTGCTTCATTGGCATGAGGGGGAACTGCAGAGTCAGGTGATAATTCTCCTTGTGATTATCAGCAACTCTTTTCACATACATACATGTAGTCCTTTGATTCATTGTTGCCAGAAGTATTGATTAGTGCTGCTTTAAATACAAGATGGATGAAACCAAAATGTGCTGAAGCCTATCTTTTGTGTCAAGTAACTCTGGCAGTTTGGGAAAAGTTTAACTTGCATTTGTCTGGCAGGAACTCATGTTGAGGTTTCCCAGTGTTGTTACTGGATGCTGGAATTGAATTGTTTTATATGAAGATGGGAGGCAGGTTTTGTTGTGGGCATTACAGAAACAGAAACACAGGCCAACCCGAGCTATGAGAAGAGAGAGAACATCAGTGTAAACAGTATCGGGTCTGAGAGTGGAGCAGGGTGATAAAGACCAGTTTGTGTTCAGTGCTGGGCACCTGCTGCAGCTCCACATGATTAATACATGCGATGTGTAGGATCCAGAGACGGAGACAGGCTGAAATGTGGGGAATCAACAGCCTCTTTGTGTACAGCTGTGCTCTTCCCTCTTTCACTTGTGGCTCTCAATTTTCTCTTCCCACTCGCATACACACTAAAGACGCACAGAAACACACTGACACTTGTGTACTGAAAACACTGGGAGCAGTCATATTACTGTCATTGTAAAACCCTTTAAGATTATTTTTAACACCAATTTTTCATTAATAAAAATCTGTATATAAAAAACAAGCTATTGCACTGCTATCTAATTCATAATGAAAATTTACTCGATTTCCACACATTTTTTTTTCTTCTGTCTGCAGCTGTATGTCAAGACAGGACCACAGGGCATTGAACAAACCATGACCACTACAAAGCAACCACAGCCCACAGCTCAATCCCCCATGACCTCCAGTGATGTCACTCCTAAACCATCCCATGTGACCAGAGAGGAAGAGGCACAAAAAGACAGCACTTAAGGAGGAGTTGGGATGTTAGGCTGACTGGAAGCCAGGATTTGGAGTGAGACTAACACAGGGGTGTTCCCATTGTACCCAGGCTGTGTATGTATGTGTGTGCAGAGCAGATAGTAAAAGCCCTCTGTCCACTGGGACCACCACACTAAAGCTCAGGTTACATACAGATCCATTAGTGTTTCTTTGCAGACGTGGCCATTGTTCCATAACCAATTTAAGAAACCCAACACTCTCTGTAAGGTACCAAATACAACCGCGCACTGTCCACCATCTGGTGTGGTCAAGATATAATGTAGCAGCCACTCGAGAGAGTCAAAGAGCCCAGGATCTGAGAGGAGAAGGACCCGCTGACAGAGTGTCACTGTATCTTCGCTATGCTTCGATTACACAAAGACGGCTCTTCCCAGTAAAGGGGAAGGAAATGCCTCGGGGTCCATTGTGTGTGTGCATCGGTGTGTATGTGTTTGTGTGTGCTGAAGGGCATCTACATCATGGCTGAAGCCCTACAGGCATATGTCATTTGCTGCTTCCTGTCAGGCTTTGTGCTGAAATAGTTTGCCAGGAATTCCGGCAGAAAACACAAATAAGCAAAAGGAGACCTGAAGTGGTTCAGCACTGAGGGCCAAATGATCCCACTGAAACAATGAAGCAGCCTTCTCAATCTAACTTGTTGCTAATGTTTAAGAACAGCTGCCCAAAGTCTGTGAAAATGAAGCGTCTCAGCCAGAAGAGGCAAGATTATTTACCTTGGGAGATTAAAGAGGCCCTTAGGTTCAAGACTGCATCCCATTGGTTGCTGCAAGCGCGTCAGCCAAAGAGTGAAGGAATGCAGAGGATCTCATAAAAACACAAACGTTTGAGGAACAACCTCAGCTCCCTCACACACACACACACACACACACACACACACACACTGCATGTCAGCAGCCTCAAGAGAGGCACCTCACCACTTGTGATCAACCAGGATGTCAGGAATAGGGAAGTGAAAGTCAGCGATGAGTGTTTAAAAAGTGTGTTTCTTTTTCCTTTTGACGATAAATATGACAAGTGGTGATCTAAATGTGAATCTAACTACCTACCTATCTACCTATCATCTATCTATCTATCTATCTATCTATCTATCTATCTCCCTATCTATCTATCTATCTATCTATCTGACAACAAGCCTATGTTGGTTGACAGGAAACTTAACCATAATGTATGGCGTTACATCTCTGCTCTTGTGACTGTTATAGGAAAGCAGCTCCACACTTCCTGAATGACCACATGAGGATCATAAACCAGCTGAATGTGGGGGAGCTCGTGTTGTGGAGGTTGAGTTGTGAGAGACTGAAACTGTGAACCAAAAATAATGTCTCACAGTATTCAAATGGTTTTAAGCAGTATTTTCACTGCTGCCCTACAAACAACCTGTACTTAAACTATCGATCATTTCAGTAATGGAGTAATTTTGTTTGGTGAAAATGTCACAAATGTCAGAAAATAAGTGAAAATGTGACTCATTTCTAGGTCAAACGAAAATACAAGCTAGTCCACACACACACACACACACACACACACACACACACACACACACACACACACACACACACTTAAGGCAGAAAGCTGACAATCATTTTTACAAAGTGATGTGCGTCTAAAAGGTTCTTCAGATTTAACATGACCAGCTGCCACGTTTAGGCCTCCAGCCAATAACTATACTCACAGTAAACAGCCTGACTGCCTGTTCTAAAGAAAAAAACATATATGTGCCACTTTTGGAAAATGTAAAACCTATCAGCATCATAACTGAACAGATGTTTGTGAAATATGCAAGTTAGTTGTGCAAGACAAAAGCACGTCAGCAAAACTCTTATGGCCGCATTGTACTTTCAAAGGAAAGAGGTCTTCAAGTATTTCACAAGTATTTAGTCACTTTCAATTCACCACTCATCATCAGTCATCCAAGTGGCTGACTGGTAAGCAGCCTTTGACCTCTGTGACCTGAAAGGCAGGGAACCTTCACAGACCTGCACTTGATTATTCACTGACATGAAGCATCCCAGTGCTCAGCAGCATGTTGACTTGCACCTCTTGTTTTGGATGAGGACTCTTTACAGTATTTAGACCCACTGCACAGTCATGTAAGGACCCTCCTCTGATGCTGTTGTATATATTTTCCCTCTGTGTACTCTCATCATCAGTGACTTAGCCCTTGTTTATCTGACCTAATTAAACTGTGCAGCTCCTGATGAAAATTCAAAACCGCCTTCATGATCAGCATTTCTAAGATCTACAGATCATTGTTTGATTAACGTGAAGAAACAGCAGATAGTTTGAAAAGCATAGATTTTTCTTTTTACCTTCTTTGACCTCGCAGTGGTGAAGTAGAGAGTTATTGTGACAATCCAGCCCCATCAGTCCAGCAAACATCTTCCCATGAATAAAATGCTGTTTGTAGCCAGAAGTCAAACGATGTCAGATCAGATCCCGGTTCTGCATGAAGTTACACCGACCATGTTTTAGAAGAAATGGAGCCAGGCAATAGGACTGATCTCATTTCCGTTGTGGAAAAGTGACTCCAGACTGTTATTTTTTTTCCCCCACCCGCTTAGGAACAACGTGTGAAACCGGCTTTTACGCGCGCTCCCGTGTCCATCATAAATATTTCCTAATGAAACAAGTATCGATCTTCGTCCATCACATTCTTACATTTCTCCTCTGTGGCAAACCTGCGGCTTCAGTTGCGCTGGAACAGACGGTCCGGAGAGAAAAGATGGTCTTCATGTCATTTTTGTTGTTGACATATTGAACACGGAAAAAACATACGGTGGTTCAGGGTGATGACTGAAGTTAGAGCCGAGATAAATCTGTGCCTCATCGATCAGTTGATCAGTAATCCGTTATTCGCTGCGCCCCTGCGTCGTGCGTCGTGTTGGAGCAACGTGAGCAGCTCCTACGTGTTCAGGAATTTGACTCCAGACTCCTTCAGACCGCCTCATAACCACAGCAGGCTGTCTCAGAGAGCTGCAGGACACATCACCGGATTAAACTGCTGCTGCTGTATATGCACGCCTTATTTTAGGACCATTGTGATGTCAGCGCTGTTGGTGCAAGAGAAAATGGGAATTATGAGAGAAAGAAAATCAACAAAATAAAACAAAAATGGTGTCTGACAGCCAATAACTACCAATAAAGTTGCATTTTAGTGAGATTTAAAGCTCAAATGCACACGCAAAATTGAATTTAGTAATAAATGATTGTTGTTATTGTAGTAACTTTTTAAAGGTCCCATACTTTACACTTTACATTTGTTTTATTGGAAGTTTTGATCCATAAGAAGATATATTTATGGTTTTAAGAACCAAAAACCATCTCAGAAGGCTCTGGGCCTCTCTTCTGATTGGCTGGCTGTTTTCTGAGTGATCAAATAAAAATTTAGCAGATTTCAGGTAAACACACAAAAGAAACCAAGTGCTGCAACGTTGAGGTGGGTCCAGGTGGGCGGGGCTTGGGCGTTTGATACTTTCACAGTATTAATATAGAACCTAGACCTGCTTTATGATTAAAAAAGACATGGACATGTCACTATATACAATATGGGACCTTTAACGGTGTAAAGATAATTTCTGGAGCTTTAAGCAATTCAACATTACATTCATAAAACATCCATATAAATGAAATAGTTCATTTGAACACTAGCAACACATATGTCCCGGCACTGTTGACACTATGTTGGCAGACTAAGACTAATTAAATATGTAGGTCAAATTACTCCTTGTGTGCAAGAAAGTAGTTTAAAGGCATTTTTGCAGTGTTAGACCCTCCTAACACATCCTTATAGTCCTCTTTGTTTAAGCAGTGAGGGGGTGCATGAGAAGAGACCCCACATAGAACTGAGTCTTTTCATGCTCCTTCCAAATGGCCCATTCATTCAGCTTGGCTGAGCTGCAGACTGATGGACAAGACTCAGTGATGAAAAGCTCAGTTCAGTCGACACAACAGAATGCAGACCCTACTTGCTCAGGCTACATGACGGAGAATGAAAGAGCTGTGTGGCAGAAGGGATAAAATCCACTGCCTCACTTGCACAGCAGAGTGAGATCACCTGCACAGTATTAAAGATTAGAAGCTCTTAATGTCCTTTGGCAAACAGATCAGCTAACTGCCGGTCACAGGACAACTCAGGGCTGCAGCATGTTTCCTCATGCTTCATAATTCACATTGCTGGCTTCCAGCAGACTTCCAGGTTGTAACTGGTCTATTTTTCTCCAACGAAAACACAGCTTATGTAAATTTAAATTATTTTTTACTTCATTTTTAGTTCTCCAGCCTATAGACTCTATCTTTTCTGTGCAGTTTTCATTCCCTGGTGCATATGGCATGTCAGAATGACACTTGGCAACAATCAGTGATGATGATGACGGCAATGATGACGATAATGATGATGATCATCATAATGATGATGATAATGATGATGCACCAGATCTTTGGATTACCTCTGTGACATTGCAGCTGTAGCTTCCCTTTTTGTCTTGTCACATTTATCTTTCAAACTTTCAATCAGATTTGTGATGACATGTTTGTACTTGTACAGAGAAACAAGGGGCAGACAATGAACAGTCTATGTAAGAAATGTGAGCATGGCATCAGAAAATAACACATAAGACATATTGACAGATATTTATATATTTGTAAAGATAAATATATAATATACATAAATACTTTTCTTTTTTAAGTGAAGTCATCACTTGAAAACACAGGAATTTTCCTGCTGTGATATTGTTTGTTCATGCTTGTATCAACTCAAAAGTGAAATGAAAAAGTGCTTTTAAGATACTGGTTCATACCAAGAACAGTAGGTTTCACCATGTAATCACCCACCATGATTCTACTCTCAATCTATTGTTTAATTCATCCATAGCTGCACAATGGAGTGAGTGTCTACTTTCACCAGAAGATGTCAGACTTCACACAGATATGGGTTTGGGGTTTGGTTCCATGTATTCCTTTTGTTAGGTTATTTTTTATTGATTATAGTGGGTTTTTTTTTTGTTTTTGTTTTCAGTTTGTGCAGGTCAGCAGGGTTAACTGCCTCCTCTACATTATTCCTGCTGATATCTACATATTGTTGACCTTCACAGGAGACCAAATGATGTGAATATCTATTTAAAGCAGAAATGCATCTTGTTTTGCATGATACGCTAAACAGTAATATTTTGACGGCCACGTGTTCATGTTGCAGTTCTCTGTCTCCAGTATTTTCAACTCAGCTGCGATATAATCAGATACTGTATTTAGCTCAGGAGAATTTATTTGCTGTTAAATAAAAACTCATTATGTACAGTCTCTGTTAAAGACACCAGTTGCTCTCTGCTCCCACACATCAAGACGTGTGATTTACATTTCTATCTTTAAGAAAACAAAAAGCAAAAACCAGTTGTCTTTCTCTCTCATTGAAATTCACCAACTCCTAAAAAACTGACCAAATAAAATGAATTTCATGTGCAAAAATCCAGAAAATGAGTTGAAATTACTTTTTTTTAGAGCAGTGTATAATGACAATTTACTATACTGTGTTTGATTAATTTCAGATCACACAGAATATTGTCTTTCAGTTTTTATAGCAGTACATTTTGTCTCATAGAGGACAAGTCAGTACTAATATTTGCCACCAGATGGCACAATTACATAACATTGAAATCCTATGGAAGTCTGTGGAACACCAGGAGCACTGAAACAATGCAGAATCCTATGTGTGGATAAATAAAAAGCGATAAACCAACAACATAGCGAATACTTTATATTTATACAGAACACAGAATCAGTCACAGGCAGATTGTCACCGAGCACTTTGAGTCAAGGAAGCACCACAGCTGCCGTCAAGGACAGTAACTGGAAAGCCAGCAGAGGCAGTGTTGTTGTGGTTTGAACGATCCGGCTCATAAAACTGACAATAAAATTTTGTTTCCCCAAACATAAATTAGAGTTGCTCTTACTGACTAGGGATTATGCAGGAAGACTGTTTCTCACTGCCTCCAACATCCATCTGGGTGGTAATAACTGTCACCATGAGGTGAGGAGGAAGGAGCAGGAATATATCAGCTCTCTGCCAGGAATATTTCCCAGCATGATCCAAACCTAATTTTGAATTCACGTCATTGCAGCATGGTGAGAATTGTTTAAAGAGTGTAGAATGAGGAGGCAAGGGGTTGCTTGTGTGTGTGTGTGTGTGTGCCAGTGGGCCCTGCCAGAGAATAGGCACGTACAATATGTGTAATTGTCACATGTGCCTCCTCTACAGATTATCTGTGTGACAGAGAGAGGAGGGCAGAGAGAGAAAAATAAAAATAAACACACACACATTATCAAAGCAGCTCACAGACTGGGAGATCATGGCATATTTGGCACTGAACTTTTATTCATGCAAAACAACTGATGTCGTCCGATTTTTATCAAAGAAAAAAAAAAATCCATTGTCTATTGCAACACAAAAACAATTGTTTTTATTGTAATAATAATATCAAAATTAGCAGGCATGTCATGAAACATATCAAACATCTGACAAATCCCATTAAAAATACATACAAACAATAGAACTGGAGCCAAACTAAAGGAGACAATGACACCGCAGAGAACATAAACAATGTTGTTGAAGCAGTGGAGGACTAAACTACTCCTTCCTCTGGGTCGATGAGTGTGGTTCTACTGGAGAACACGTCGGCCAACATGTGCTTGGGGATCTCTGAGCCGCGCACACGCAGGGTGTAGCAAGCGTCCTCCACTTTGCCCAGGCTCTGTCGCAGTGTGTGCAGCTTCTTGGACACCTCGTAGGGGCCCGTGTTTCCGATGTAGGAGAAACCGTCGTGGATCTGCCGAAGGAACTGGCTCAGCTGGAAGGGCGTGTCAATGTCGCCGTTGCCCACGCTGCTGATGCACATCCGCATCAGCTCTCCGGTCAGGTCGGCCACGCCGAGCAGATAGTCTGAGGGCGTCACATGGAAGGTCAGGACCTGAGCTCCCAGCGGCAGGGCTTCAGCTGCGCCCTGAGACGAAAACATGACGAGACAGGATATAAAAATCACACGTGAATGTCAGCAAAAGACGTAGATGATGAAAACTCTTTGGAGTCATTTTTTCAAAGCTTTTTTTCACAGATTGTGCACATAAATGCTTATCCCAGCAGGTTTTATGCACAGGACCGATGGTGACAACAATATTTACAAGATGTGACTGTTACATTTTGCAGCTGTGCTTTTAGGAAGAAGAACAACAAATAAGCAAATTAGGTGTTTTCTCAAGCAAGATGATGCTTTTACTACAAAATACTGAGGTTCACACAATTCTGTCTGCATCAGCAGGGACCCAGTATCTCTGAAAATAACAGGCAGAGTGGATAAAATCACATAATGACACATAATGCTTATGCAGTACATAGCACCACCCAACGCTGCCATCACCACTGCTTTGAAAGGAAAAAGGAAAATAATGTAAAATGAATATACAACTAGTTTGACAGTTTTGGGAATATCCTTGTTTCTTATCAAGAAAACAAGGATAAGAAAACAAGGATATTCATTAGATGAAAAGATCAACACCACTCTCATGTCTGTGCACTAAATATGAAGCTACAGATTTTACCTTTGGATAAAGCCAGGCTTCATGCTAAACTAAGCTAAGCGCCTGCTCGCTGTAGCTTCATATTTAGTGTAGAGACATGAGAGTGTCATCGATCATGCTCAGGGGAAGAAAGCAAAAAAAGTTTAATTCCCAAAATGTTGAACTACTTCTTTAAATCTTGTTAAATTTTAGGAAACGAAACATATCAACCACAAAAAAAACAGTAAAAAATTAAACTGAGTTGACAAAACAAAGTGCATGCAGCTTGACCACACCATCGTCATTAAATGTACCATAGCACCTACCTTCTCCGCTCTCATGAACACCAGTCTGGCGTTGATCTCCTCCAGGCTGATGAGGCTGCGATGACGGATGTAGTGCAGGAAAGAGATGGCCTCCACATACTCCTGGATCCCTAATGCATGAAATCACATTGAAATGGATCACCACAAGACAATGGCTGTTGAATTTATTTGTACTACTCTAAAACGACTACTATCTCTAAAAACAAGGCCAACTATGTATCCAGTGAGCGCAGCACGTAGAGTGTGTATAAACACTACATGGTATCTGCACAGTATAGATCACAGATGTAGATAATGATTCAAATAAAACCTGTTTCCTGTCATGGTCTTTTGATTGAACAACAGTAGCCATTTTTTGTGGTGGGTCGAGATGACCCCTCATTTGTTTTCTGGCCCTGTGTCAACAACAATCAAATAATCACAGGACGGAAGACTTTGTGTCTGAAGTTTACTTTTGGAGCGGCAATTGAACTTCAAAAGGACTCCCTATCTCCCTGCAGCTAACCACAGTGTGCTGCAGAAAGCCAGGAGGAGGATCCGCTTCATCTCCACTTCACTCAGAATAACTTTCACTGCTCTTATTAGATATTTAAGTCCAATCGCACCAGCATTTTTCACATGGACCAAAGCCACTGACGCCATGTTGACCATTTGAACCGCCAATCCCCCTCCGTATTATTTATCTAACCTTTCTATCGTCCTACCAACCTTTTAGCCTTTAAAAGCTTATTTTCTCATTCAGTTTCTGTTATTGCAAGTGAAACATTTCTGTAAAAGTAATTCAACGCTGACAAGACACGTGTTTACATTCTTACCAACTGATTGTCAACTGACTCTGTTTTATGTTCGCTGCATGCCAGTGCTATTTTTAGCTCAAAGAAAGAAGTCTGTTTATCAAGCTACCAGCACTGCACCTGGAGTCTGGTCAGTTTTCCCAAGTTTTGTAGCCATGGTAAGTAAAGCGAGGTACTCTATGTAACATTCGCTTCTGTGTACAACTAAAGAAACTTAAGGCTGGAAAAAGTTCACCCTGTCACACTGTTACACTCTCCTATGTCAGGCTCCTTCCTGATCAGCACTAAATCATTCATTTGTCATCTACATCACTGAAGGAGCAGTGCAAATGCTTTTTAACGCCGTTAAAAGTAGGATAATAATAATAAGCATACATTCTTCTGTGTTTATTTTTATTTTTCCCCGTGCTTGATGTGATGCTGCTGGTCATGATGCCTGAGGAATAGGATGATTGCGCCCATTAGAGACCGCACGTACTTCTGTGCACCAATTAGGATATCTCAATATGTGAGTCAAAGTCTGGTGACTGCTGTCAGGCCACTGGGAACGTGAGCTCAGTTTGTGACTGTTAAAATTCCCCTAAATCACGTGTAAGTGTGTTTTTTCAAAACTTGAAATTCAGTTTTTGCTCATTTAGTCATGATTATATAGAATATATATATTATATAAGATAGAGAAAGATTTAATACCATGTAGTCAGGGATTTTAAATGAGCTGCTTACTAGAGGGACCATATCCTTTAGAAATTCAGTAAATAGTGTAGATCATGTATATTTTATGTTCAAGCATCAAGCCTTTAATTGGAGAATTTTTATAACCTTGAAGAACAAAAAAGCTGCCACAAACATCTAAACATTGGCAGTGGCTCCACAGCTGTGACACTGACTTAGAGAGAATAAAACCCGACCTGAGGCGGACAGGATATGACATGAAAAGGTTACACAGGCTTTGAGGCAAGCAGGGGGAGTTCAGTTCCTGAGTTTACTGCCAGGAGCTGATCGTGTTATTTACTCTGAAGCAGCAGTTACCTTTGGTCACCAAGACCCAGAAAAAAAAACAAAAAAGTTACTGCAGATAATGTCTAAACAATGACTCAGGGAAAACCAGCTGGAAAATACAAAGGTTTTACTGGCACAGTGGTTGGAAAAGTTGAGGGCTAAGCTTAAAAACTGCTTAAACACTCCGTTTTGCAAAATGATATGGCACAGATTCCTGTATTGAGAATACTGAATATAGTGTCTTAAACAAATGCATGAATGTCCACAGATGATTTAAAGATTAATTGAGCTTAACGTTTGACCACAGAGCGGCTCACTGAGTTGCAGGTGAACCTTGCGAAAAGCCCCACCAGTATACTTGTGTTTGCACTGTCTCAAAGCTGCAAGCCGGTTCAAGCTTAAGAGCTTATCAAAGCACCACACTGCCCTGTTATCAGTGGTAATTACGTTCAGATTCAGTCCATAATATCTTTAATGGTCCTTAAATAAAAAAAAAGCAGACCCATTACACATGCCTGGAGACTTCTCGTCCAGCCAAGATTATCTGGAGAGCCCATGCAGAGAGCCTAGTCTCAATCTAATAAAGACGATAAAAATGGAAAAAAAAAAATGAAAGGTCTAATTGGTGGGAACTGCCACTGGTCACGTCGCGGAGGATGCAGCAGTGATTCCTGAGTGACCACAATCTAAAAATGACTTCCCCAGCTGCTAGATAACAGCTAACCCTCGCTCCGAGTGATGTTTTTCTCCAAACTGTGCAGACATTTTGGCTACGCTAACAAAAACTGATATTGATGCTAGTGGGAAAACAACTTTATCAGAGGGTGTGTCTATCATATCCAGGCCTGCATCAGGGTCACGCTCTCACACTATCAGTGACTTTACAAATAAATCGAAAGCACAAAAGTAGAGATTGAAGTGATAGCAGCCCAGCAAAGAGAATTCCTCCTGAAAGCTCCCGTGTAATTAGCTTTTTAACTCATGTCCTGTGCTGGCGCTTATTTGTCAATTCAGAAATGTATTGTTATATTTAAAGAAATAAGAACACCGGTACATGGTTGTAAAAACATACTGAATTAGAATTACTTGAGTGGTAGTTTTGAATAGTAAATCCTAAAATCTATCAGTTTAATTACATATTTATATTTGTTTGAGTGATGACAAACCATATATGGCATACTTCCTCATAAAAGCATGGAATAAAATGCATTAAAAAAAAAACAGTTTGCTCATTGTGTAGCACATTGTTCAGGAACAAAAACAGAATCCATAACACTTTCAATGTGCATATGGGCATGTCAGCACTGTTTCAAAACAGACGTGTAAAAATGTGAACTTATCCTTTGGAAGACATCAGCTAATTCAAGCATGATGACGAGTCTGTGTGTTTCAACTAATATCACAAAATTAAATGTTAGGTTAAGTGCAAATGTTGTCAGTGGGATATTCAGCAGGGTATGCCAAACGATTCAGCTGACTGATTACACTTAATTAAGTCACACACAGATTAAGGTGATACAGTTTGGAATGTTTCTAAGGACCAAGACTTCAACCTGGTATCTTAGGACTTAAATGTAATAAATCAGGATGATTAAAACAGCCCCATCGGCCCATTTCGGGGCTGAGGAAAAATACGTTTACTTGCATCTTATGCTGCAAATGTCTTTTAGTATAAATATTTATTTTACATATCAATGAAAACAGCTCAGCAATACCAAACTTCACAGGTGAATGTTGAAGTGGAAAAACAGCTGACAGCTCTTTCATCACTTTGTATGCCTGGAAATGTTAATATGTGTTATGAACTTGTCTGAGCAGAGAAATGTGTGGCTTTAGTAAAGGTGGTTGATCTGTCTGCTTCTTTTTTTCTACTACAGTGTTTGTCATTTGCATTTCCCTGTTTAACACTTACCACAGTCCTTAACACAGTCCTTTGATATTTTAAGTATAATCTTTAAAATACATCCACCCAATTATTGACATGTAAAATTAAGAATTACTCAAACTTGTCTTTATTTCCTCTTTTCATGAACCAACAATGAACAAGGCCTTACCATTGTCAGTCTATTTTCACAAATTACCTTTGTACAATTATTTTCCTGACAACCTAACTTTAAAGATTTTTGTATCCACCGCAATGAACTGAAATATTTAGTGGTCAGTTGCTTTTTTTAAACAGTATTTACATTTACTCATTTGGCAATTGCTTTTATTCAAAGTGACTTACAAGTGAGAGGCAGTACTAAAGCTTCAGTGCAGTAGGAGACCTTCGTGTAAGTACTAAATCTATTCAATGAGTGGAAGGAGATCAAGTTAAGGAATTCACAGAAAGTGCATGGTAAGTGCTAGTTAGGCATGTTAGGGTGTTAGAGGTGTTAGGAGAGGAGGTGCTCTCGGAAGAGATGAGAGATTCTTTAACATAGAGAGGGATGTTCCTGCTCTGATAGCATTTGGCAACTTGTTCCACCACCAGGGAACCACAGATGAGAACAGTCTGGACTGAGATTGTCTTGTGTACACGGATGCGGTGTCAGATGACATTCCTTGGAGGAACGCAGTGGCAGTGGCCATGGCTTCTTCTTGGCCGTGGCCTAGAAGAAGCATTAGCCAGTATGATTGTGTTCAAGTAGTTGGGTGCAGACTAAGAAGTTACTTTGAAGGCAAGCATAAGTGACTTGAATTTGATTCGGGCGGCCATGGGTAGCCAGCGGAGGTCAATTAGTAGCCACATGACACGTGACCTTTTAGGCTGATCAAAGACCAGATGGGCCGCCGCATTCTGGACCATTCGTAAGGGTCTTACTGTGCATAAAGGGAGGCCCGCCAGAAGGACATTGCAGTAGTCTAGACGAGAGATACCAAGGCCTGGACCAAGAGTCGGGTAAGGCCTGATTTTTCTTATGTTGTGTAGTGATAAATACAACATAACAGCTGTATGAAAACTCACCTGGAGTGAAGGCTCTGTGAAACTGATGGATGTCCTCTCCCCTAAGCTCTTCAGCAATTTGACCGATTTTCTGCCTGACTCCATCCAGTTTTACATCTGCTTCATTCAGAACGTCCTCTGGATCTGGTACACTTCAATCCAGAGAAAACCCACATAATAACAGTTAGAAATGCAATGACTACACAAGCACAAAGACTTGAATAGATGATATATTCTGGTGACACTTTTGGAGTTGGTTCAGAAACTATGAATTTACTTTTTTATCACAGCATTCATCATTCAGATCATTTTAATTAAATGTTATAACTCCCCTTCCATTACACAAATTCCAAAAAAATATCTGAAGGCTGATGCAAATTGACCCAAATGAGAAAGATCTATAAATATTTTAATGTTATTTTAAATGCTGATGATTACATCAACATGAGCTGGAATTATGGTAAAAGCAACAGCTTTGTTTTAGCTCCTTAAAACACACACAGTATCTTAAGTCTACTGTATTAACATTTAAATCATCAAACTGAGCAGCATTCTCTCACTGAATCTGAATAAAGGGAAGAAATCTATTACCCTTTCCAAACTAAACTGAATCAATTAACATGTCTTTCCATAACAGTACATACCTTGTTACTCTATGCAAAAGAAAAATGGTCCTCTTGCTTTCAATGGTAACGTCTCGAGAGATCTTAACAAGACGCTCATATTTGTCGTGTTTGGTATCAAGCTCCTGCTGGAAAACTTTTAGACAGAGTGAAAGTTTAGTTTGAATACAGATAAAATGAAAACGCTAATGACATGCAGCAGCCACGTGGCTGAAAAATGTGATCAAAATGCTGAGGATTCAGTTACCTTTGAAAGCAGCAATGACAGGGGAGGATGGGTTGGTACTTGCATCACGGTCCTGCCCTGTATCAGCATTTTTCCGTGGACATCCTTCACCTGACACAAGACAAAAAAACTAAGGTAATGCTGCAGTTTGCATTTAATAATAAGTGTCTCCAGTTGCCGTCATTCTTTCTAAACTGACCTTGTCAAATAAGGGCCACATCACCAATTTTGCACATGAAGATCAGTTTACTCGTTTATTATTATGTTATTTTGACTTGCACTTCTGACTTAAAGTAGAAAAATGAGAATTATTTGATAGGGGTGGGGGACTAACATAGAGTATAGCATTTTTTGTGGGGCGCAAACCCCATTTTAGCGACTAAAACTTGGGATACCTCCTACCTTGTTGGACTGTCTCTCGCAAGTCCACAAACTTAATGGAAGAGCAATACTAAATCACTGGTGAACTTCTTTAACATATGTTACTAAGGCTGAAGGTATTGAACTGCAACAATTTTGGATATTAGGGTTCTAACTTAGTCCTAATGTAAATAATGTCATTGAATGGCTGTTGTAGCAGTGTAAAAATTACAATTAGTGTCAAACCTAATCTTTGAAAACTGCTATATTCTTATTCACCTTTCATATATATGATTGCTGATAATTTGCACACACAATCTAGTTTAAAAGGGTTAGAACCTGCTAATTGGCGCCTGGTGCTATATTTTATTGAAAGTTTTAGTCACTTTTATATCGAGAAAATACTACATATTCACAGGTTCCAGCTCGTCAGATGAACATATTTTATGGCTTTTTCGGGGGGGGGGGGTCTGACAGCAAACTGACGACATTTGGGTTTTGAACTTTTGGTCAGACACATCGAGCAATATGAAGATATGAGCCTGGACTCAGTAGAAAGTAGAAACCACCACCGCTGTAACTAACAAATTAATATCTTTGGTAAACAGTGCGGTAGTAAGAATAGGGCAGGCTAATATTATTTAAACAATCACTATAGTTCAACTACAACAGATAGCAGCACGGCGCATGTTAGTTTTAACGTGTTTATTGTTAGCTAACTGGTTCGTTGCTAAGCTAGTGAGTTGTCCCATGCTGATGACAGCGAACAGCACTACACGTTGTATGAAAAATGTTTGACTTAGTCTCAAAAGATGGACTTACCCTCTCGCTTATTCATGCTGTCAGTGTTGCAGTGTATCCTTTTGATAAATTTAACTATTTCAGGCTATCTTCGTGTTATATTTGAACTGTTTTAGCCTCTATCGCCCGTGCTGCCAAGCAGATATAACACAGATGAGTACTTTACATCTGTCAGGGACTATCCAGGTCATAGGACAAAACAGCTTCACTTTCTCAGAAAAGTTACCATCTCTGGGTAATGATAAAAACGCCTACTAAGGTCTAAATGTCCTTCTATGAGAGGTGAAACCTTTTTTTAATAACAGGCATTCCTGTGGACCTCATTCATAGCGGGGCTTCAGCGCTGTTTACACGCGTAGCAAGAAATGAAGCGCGGTGCATCTTGGGAGATGTAGTAAAACAACGGAACGTGGCATTTGTTTTTGTTACACCATTTCCCTCAATCTACTAAAGTCATATAGTAATTTTAATCGTAAAATCACTCAAATAAACACAGATACAAACTATTTAAACCACGAGCCAACCACTGTATATTACATATTTTAAGTATCTGAACTTTTCTTGAAACATAACAAATTGTATTTTTGTGCTTGTGGGTTTTTTTTTTTCATGGAGCATTCAGTGTCATGAATGGTTCATTGTTACAGATGCTGTATCTGCTGATTATAAGCATATTTCTGAGTTTAACTCATTCTGTAGGGAGTGACACAGGCCGCTCTTGCAGCCAAAATACTTTCTGTTTCCAGTTAGAACCCAGATTGAGCAACCAGTCATCCCCCAGACTGCCATCCAAGATCGGCCTGTAACATTTGTTGCTATTAAAGTATGTTTCATCCAACCTTTCTTGATCTGATTACTCGCTTCTCTCCAGTAACCCCTCCTCCAGGGACTCCTGCAGACTGTGTACGTGCCACACGACTGGTGCCAACTTGAGCTTGCGTTTTGCCTCTGCACAGCACACTCCCTGACATTCAGAAAGCCGTTTCACTCATTGGTGTGATGAGTGACAGGCCCCAGTCATGCAGATCATGACATATTCATCTTAACATAAGTTTATGCTTCATAAAAATCTAATAAATATTTGTAACAATTTGCATTCCGATAGTCGATTCAAGTCCCACTCAACCGCAATCATGAGCTTCATAAACAGGCCACTAACTAACAAATCAGTCTATAATAACAGCAGCAAAATGTTTATGCAAAATATTCTTTTGTTGTGTGAAAGGAATTTCACATATGCGAGCAAGGAATGAGGGCAAAACACTCTGACGTTGACGTTGACTGATGATGCCTTCAGGTACTCCCTTATAGCTCCTACATCCTAGTGTTCTATCTGTTGGGGCTTCAATGCCTCTGTTTCAGAGTTGTAGCAGTTGAATTACTTTATAAATTAAGGTGCACGTGGCTAATTTGTGCTACTGCAGGATTAAAATGTGCACAAGACACATTTGTCCTTGAGAAACTGACACAACTTCAATGTCCCACTGCTTGATTCATATGTAAATAAAAGTGCAACATTTATTCGTAAAACTATCTTGATAAAGTATTTGAGATACGCCTCTATGACTGAATGATATGGCAAAGACAATGTGTTCTTAATATTCAGCTTTAATAAATCAGTCGTTTTGTTTCTGCTTTCCTATAAGCAGTGTTGAAACAAGTATTAAATAAAAGTAGCAAAACCACATTGTAGAAATATCAAGTGAAGTCCTGCATTCAAAAGTTCACATTGCAAAGATGTATTGTTAGCAAAGTGTTCTAAAGTATGAACAATAAAAGCACTCAGCATGCAGAATATTCCCTTTTAGATTTTTGTATAATTTTAGTATAATATGATTTTATATTATTGGATAGCTAGTTGGAATGGCTGATTTAATATACTGTATACTGTTTGGTAGTTTAATCTAAAGCAACGAATAAGAATTTATAAAAGTAGCACAAAATGGACATGCTTAAGGAAAGATACCTTACACCATAAATACCTCAAAATTATAAGTAAATACTCTCTATAAGTCAGTAAACATAATTATAGAGAGTAATCACTGTGGGTGTATGACTGGACCGATGGGTCCAGTCATGATGACACATACAGTATTAATAATCTATTAATTGACCAGAGGTGCGTACATGATAATATTCTCCCTGTTACCCTGTCATGACATTGACTAACTACGTCCACGTGTTTCGTGCTTTTTAATGAGTCTCGCCTGCTCCACAGTCCGCGAATGCAGCGCACAATGGGCGGTGCTTGTGGTCGGACGTCAGAGTGGGCTGGACCACAGATAGGCTGAGCACACACCGAGCGGCGCCATGCACGACCCTCAGACCTAACCGCTAGCCAGCAGAAATGCCTCCTGAAGACCTCGACCCAGCCCGAAATGTTCGGCCCAGGGCACACGCTGTCGTATTATTTCACTGATACAAGATGGGAAGAAGGAGTAGTTGTGATAAAATGGCGAGGTTTTGAGTCTTACTTTTCCGTTTCGCTCGGTGTAGCGTGGCAGAGGCAGTGGATCGTTTCCAAAGTTGTCGGTTAGCAGGGCGCGTGTGAAGGATCGGAATTAAAGGCGCAGTGCACCCGTTGTAGCCGCAAACATGGAGAAGCAGCAGAGCGACTTGGACCGAGAACGACAGTACTGTGAACTTTGTGGGAAAATGGAGAACCTCCTCAAGTGTGGTAGGTGCCGGAGCTCCTTCTACTGCAGCAAGGAGCACCAGAAAGAGGACTGGAAGAAACACAAGCTCATTTGTAAAGAGGCGGACAAGGCGCAGCTTCCCAAAGAGAAGCCAGAGCAGGCTCCGTCGTCTGAGGACGACAAGGCACCGGAGAAATACCAAGAAAAGAAAACCCCTGAGCAGGCGGATACTACATCTTTACCACAAACCACGAACACAGAAGCACCTGGGGTTGGACCGGGAGAGGACGGTTCAAACAACACCGCCACACCTAACGGACAAACCAACTCATCCCCTCAGAAACTTGCCATGGAGTACATAGTCCCGTGTATGAACAAGCACGGCATATGTGTGGTGGACAACTTTTTAGGAGCAGAGACTGGGCTAGGCATTTTGGACAATGTCAAGGCCCTTCACAAAACGGGCAGGTTCACAGACGGACAGTTGGTCAGTCAAAAAAGCGACTCAACTAAAGACATCCGAGGGGACAAAATCACGTGGATAGAGGGGAGGGAAGCCGGCTGTGAGAAGATCCGCTTTCTAATGAGTCGCATGGACGACCTGATCAGACATTGTAACGGCAAACTGGGAAACTACACAATAAATGGAAGGACGAAAGTAAGTATTGTAGTAGGTGGAAACACAAAAACCAGTAGTCTGAAATCTAGGGTATTTTTTTATGCCTGTGGTCAGTGGTTGGCAGTGCTTGTCCTTCAGGAGCAAGAGCCCTGTTCGTCTGCTGATTTACACCTGCCACACAACCTGGTTGGTTTAAAAAAAACAGCAGTACTTAGGCTTCATAGGACCAAATAAAAAGTAAGGTTTGCAGGTATCTGACAGCGTTACATCATTCAGCAGAAGTCACAATCAGGCTGGTCACACCCAGTGGTTTCAGACATGTGCATTGTGTCTTCAAGGCACCGTTACTTTCAATATCTGCTAATGTGTTTGCTAATTAGACCCGACTTTAAGTTTAAGAGGCTAGTAAGTATTCCCTAACTCCAAGTTAAAGTGTGTCTAATGCCCTGAGTCAGAGAGGTGGATTATTTCCTCAACACATGGCTTTTTCTGTCTGTGTACACCAGGGCTGAACACATTTTCATGATTTTAATCTTAATGTAAATTAATTTGCACAACAAACACATCACACATGGCTAAGACTTAAGGAGGGACTTAGGTCCCCTTAGAACAAAATATCATGAAATGCATATTTTCTATATATTACTGTTGTAATACCGGATTTAATTTTCAGGGTATGCACTTAGTTTGCAGTTTATTATCTTAAACTATTAAAGATAAAACGTAGAAAAAGTAAAGTAAATCCTACCATCATGCAGGTTAGAATTTTCAGATTTTGTTGAGACTGTTTATAACAGTGTCGATTCAGTTGTATGGTCATTTTAGAAGCTGTAGTTTGAGAGGTGTTTCTAATATTAATCTACCATCGATTTTCAAAGAAAAAACGGAGGTGGAAAATTCATTATAAACATCTCTAAGCATAATGCCATTCATTTAGCCAGCAACGCAAAGTACAACCTCTTAACATGACCATAAAGTTCAATTGGCACTTCTCTGAACAAAATCTGAACATTATAGTGTTCATTAAGGTACAGTTTATTGCAGTCCTATTGGCCTGCAAACACTGATTATTTTTTCAGTTGATTGGTCTATAAAAGTTTGGTCTTAAAAATGTGAGTAAATAAAGAAAATTGCCTATCACAATTTCCTAAATCCCCAAATTGGCATCTTCAGATTGTTTTGTTATGGAATTGATTAATCAACTTATTGTTTCAGCTCTACAAATTATACTGATAAGTTTTAGCTGCTATATGTGTTTAATAATCTTGCAACTGAGAGTGTATTTGCAGCAAGCTCAAGCAGATGTCACAGTGAAACTGTATAACACACGGCACATGTTCTCTGTAATATGCAGCTCTAATAGATGTGCTGCTGCTAAATGCACTCACAAAAACAAGAAAGACGTCCTGTCAAAAATTGTGCATATTGCATGACACATTTATGTGTTCATCCTTATTATAGTAAAACAACAGGATGTGAGTAACCAATTGGCAAACAGTGGGATGAATGTAACCAAACTCAATGAAGTCCAACTGTGCTTCTGAACCATCTACAGGGAAACTGTTGTGTAGGTGACTGATTTCTGACCTCGCTGTTGAGGTGTCAGGGTAGAAGAATTTTGCAGCGATGATAAATTCAGTTCAGTATCTCAAATAGACATGCAATTGATTAGACAGAGCATTCCTATGTTGAGAGGAAGACCTGAGTGTTTCAAGGTTGGTATTGTGGGGCAGAGGAAATTATGGGCAACTTTTGTTTCACTCAGGTGTGTTTCCGAAGAAAATGTCTTTAAATAACTGTAGTCTTGTTTTCAGGCTGGTTCCTCTCAGACCAGGAACAACAATTGTAGTTGTCTTTTCACCCTCTTAGTCATTTCATCACTTTTTTGTAACTGCTGTGCACAATTTTAAAAAAAGCAGCCTATGTCATCCCAAAGCAATGTCAACCTTGCTCCAGCTCCGCTGTTTGGGTTGCGTGCGACCAACAACTCTTCTTTGAACCAGATTTGGTCATTATGACCTTGTGGCATTAGACTGACACAGGAGGAGATGAGCTGCTCTCAGCCTCCCCCCTCTTCCTCCTCCCCTGGGGAAAATACTCTAAAGTAGCCTGTCACTGTTTCAGTGAATAGATGTTAGGCTCAGTGACCTTTCAGGGCTCTTTTTGAAATGCAAACCAGTTTATTGGATACACCCAGCTGAATCAAATGCGGTCTAATATAACTGATCTAAACTTATTGCCTATTTACTTAAGTTTTAGAGGAATTTAAAATAGTTACTTTATTTGTTCATCTGTGCTATTAGTGTGGAAATATGGTGTGTGCTTATTTTCAGTGTGTCTACAATTTTGTTTTCAATTTAGTTTTATTTACTTTTTTTACTTTTGTTTCATTTTTCTTTAGTTTTTAAAGAGCCAGATTTTTGACCCTGGCATTAGTCTTATGGAGAGTTAAGTCAAACACTAACACTACACACTATTTAGGATTAGCACATAAAAAGTGATACTCCTGAACACTAACATAACTCCCTCGAAGGTACTCACTGTTAATATTTGTCACTGTACCTTATGTTTTGCTTTCACACACCCGCGCCCTTTGCTTTCTTTAGGCATTTGATTTTCTGTGCTGGCACAGAGCTCTGATTGCTGTATGCTGCTAATTCGTGCTGTTCCTCCTGTTCAGTAGTGTTTTGTTTTTTTTCTCTGGCTGGTTCTTATAAGACATGAATCATTTTTTAGAAAGCACATTATTTCAGGTTGTGCCGTTGATCCACGCAGCTGGCCACTGAGTCAAACACTGTTGAGAACTTGACTTCCTCACCTACTGCCCTAGTTGCCTTGGCAAACACACGCCTGGACTGTGACCAGCAAAAATCAGCATGACTTGCACATATGGAAGGCCGCCAGTATCAGTGGCTCAAAGGGATACAACACAATGTAAGCACAATTCGCATTGAGAAAGATAGAGGAAAAAGATTTTGCCCAAATAGTTATTTAATGTCATTGTTCCCATTTCCCCTTTTCACTTGATAACATTGTGAGACATCGCAGGCAGCAGGACATGTTTGTTTCTCTGCAGCTCCAGCATGTTGAATGCTCTCTGATGCCATTATAGTATTATCAGAGAACATGTAAAGAAGTTTGTGGCAGCGACATGATTGTCCTGTTCTCCTCTGAAAGTTAGTTTGTCCAGCATATTAACACAGTGGCTTACTAAGCCAAGCCATTACAACATCTTTACTGCTACTGCGCAAAGCTAGCATTAACATAGTTATGTTGTTGTACATGAAACTACTCTGATAACTCTGTTTAGCTCAGTATAATAATAATATGATAACTAGAAAATTCCAGGGAAATTTTGAGTGCCACGGGGGCTACTGCCAGGTTAGGGTAAAAAATCTTCTCTGTGTCACTGTAGCGATGACATCACGCAGCCCTTGGCTGTCAGAGGTCAGGTCAGGAGCTGCCGTTGCCATGGCAATGTGAAAATCTGCCCAGAATTTGGCTTCTACATGGCTTCAAATGATTTCAAATTATGAGAAAACTGTTACTTCTTTTCATAAACCGAAAACACCCTGAGAGACACTGAAGCCAGAAGTTTCTTACAGTCTCTATTTTATTCAGATATTCCTTAAAATGAGTGAGTAAGCTCAGTGTGAAGACAGAGTGGGATTCTTTTGAAAGAAAAAGACAATTACATTAGGTGTCAATGAGAGTGAGACAGGTATTGCTGCCGGACTCGGCAGCAATACCTGATTAGGAGTGCCTCAGAGCTGAGCACCCCTGGCACTAATAATTCAAGTACAGGATTTAGATACAGTATTGTTTGGGCCTACAGCGACAGGACTCACAGCAATATAATGCAATCCAGGGAGCATGAGAACTGCGTGACCGTCTCAAGCACGACTCTCCGGTGTGAAAAACAAAAGGACATTCATGGAAGGATAAATTCCACTATAGTACACATATTGACACACATGTAGAACCATGTTGCCAGATCCCCACATACATATAGAAAATGGTTTCTGGAGATTCTTACCATGAGTTGTTAGCAGAGACACATGTCTCCACCAGCTGCTCAGATTAATATGACAATCATTTAAATAATTTGTTAATTATTTATAGTATTATTATTATTACTTGTATTTTGTTTGAGATAAAGAAACACACCTAGACCTGAAGCAATTAGTTGATTAATGTACTTGTCAGTCATCAGAAATTTAATCTGCAACTATGACAATCTAATTGATTAGTTGCCATTTTCACATCAAAAATGCCAAACACACCTAGTTCTAGCTTCTCATAGTGAAGATTTATGCAATAGTAAATTCAGTGTCTTTTGGTTATGGACTGTGGTTGGATTGAACAAGGTATTTAAAGCTGTCAGCTTTTGTTTTTCAATTTTCAATACTTTGACATTTTATCAACCCAATGATTAATTGAGTAGTCAATAGATGTACTAGTAATGAAAGTTATTGTTTGATACATCCCCAAAAGCAACAGGGTTTTTTTGTGTGATATGGATAAAAACTATGCAATTTTACATTGCATAACATCTATTGAGAAAAAGTAAATGTTATTAGAAGTCCATTCAAAAGACAAATCCTATAAATCCTTTATTACCATAAAATAGTCTTGCACTGATTTGCGTCATTGTCCGCAATGGTCTTCCTAATGGTTATTGCAAAATCCCTATTCTTCCTTCTGAAAAGTGTACACGTATATTGCTCTGTCATTCACCTCAAGCAAAGCCTCTCATTTTCAGTGGAAACTGCTGACAGCTGCTAAGAAGCAGTTTGATCGAAACGGGGTAAATCTGGACAAATCCACCCCCCTTCCCTGTCAGTGTTGTGGTTGAAATGAGAAACCCAAGTTTTATATTGTTGGATGTTGCGTTATTAGTTGCATCATTTGTTAAGTCAGAGCGATCGTAGACATGTGCTTTCATAAGGAAGTTGACTGTTGACCTAAATCTTAAAGCTTTATAGAGTAAGTAGGCTAGAGGAAGTCATGTGGTGGTGGTCCTCTGTGTGTTGGAGCCA